ATCTCTCTGAGTTCAGATTCAGCTTGGATCCTTTTTTGGTGCTCATCACTCTCTCTGATGATGCGCTCCTTGTCTTCCAACTTCGTTCTTAGTTGCTGTAACTCCAGATCCATCTGACGGCGACTCGTTACGGCTTCATCAAGCCTCCTACTGAGTCTGTCATGTTCCATTGATTGCCTTGGGTCCTTCTGAAGCCGTACAATCTCCTGGACAACCAGTTTCTGTTCTGGTTTCTGTCTTTCCAAAAGAAGGTATTTGTGTTTGAATTCAAAAACCATCTCCTCAATATTTCGCCTCAGCTGTGCTTCTTCCCGCACACTCCTGCGCAAACGATCAGCTTCCTTCTCCAGCAGTGGATCAGGCTCATACTTTATTAATTCTCTGTTGACCAGTTGGGTCTCTATCTTGGACTTTTCTGCCTTCCATTCATCTCTTTCTTTCTGCAGCTGTCTAACCTGGTCTTCAAGAGAGGTGCACTGGCTGTCTAGGCGGTTCACCTGATCATTTAACCTCTGGATCTCTCGCTCGTTTTCAGGGCTTCTTTCTTCTTTCACCACCTCTTGGGTAACCTCTTTGAATTCTACTTTGGGTTTCTCTGAACGAAGGGTATTCAGATCAGTGGTGACCTGCGTAATCACCTTTTCTAGGTCAGTATTCTGCATATTTATGTCCTGTATTTCTTTGCGAAGACGCTCAATCTCCATCTCTGTATTTGGGTCTATTAGGTATATCTCATTTACAACTTCTTTCACCTCAAAACTTGGCCTCTGGGCTTGAATTTCTCTGTAGCGCTTCTGCAGCTCCATCACTTCTTGAGACAAATGGCTGTTTTCAGATCTCTCTTCCTCCAGGCTTGTTTGGAGCTTGTTGAATTCTGCGATAAGTTCAGGGTCTTGTTCAATCTTTTTCACATTTCTAGCGATGTCTTTAGACTGGATGTTGGGAATCAGCTTCTCAAGGGTGTTAATCTGATTTCTTGTCTGGAAGATTTCATCATTGAGGATCCTGCATTTGTTTTTCTCATCAGAAATTTCAGTCTCAAATGCTCTAAATGCTTTCAAAATCTCTAGATCTCGTTCTGCTTTACCCGCTTCCTTCTTATCCTCTCTCTCGTTCACGGGCGGTTTAATATGGTGGAGAATTGCAATTTCTTTCTTCATTTGGGCTTGCTCCGATTCGTTCATTCGTATTTCATGTCTCATCCTTGGGATCTCATTTCGCATGTTGGCAGCCTCTTCTTCCACTTGAGGATCTCTTTTAAACTCAATCGCCTCTCTAGTCACCATTCGAGGGTATGAGCGTTTAGTGGTGTCTTGCAGATTTCCGATTCTCTCGTTTACCGTCTCAAACTCTGAATGGGTGGAGCTCCGTTTCAGGACTTCAGTGTTCAGTTTGCTCCTAAGGTCAGACAGATCACCTACTTGCAGTGCGTTGTTCTCCTCCACATGCTCCACACCTCGGTGATTCTTAACTCTGCTTTTGAAGGTTTTTAGTTTGGTCTGTGATTGAGCTGTCACTTCATTCTCGTCCACTAATTCCCCAAACAAGCCATCTAACTCAGAGCTACTCTTTTGTTGGTTTTCAAGCTTCGCCTGTTGCTGTGCCACCATCTGAACCTTTTCTTCATTCTGCAGCCGTAAAAACATGATAAGCAGGTTTAAGTACACATTTTCAGATGATTTGCAGTGTAGCTAAATTTGTTTGATCGGTTATGGTATAAATAGTGCAAAGACAAGGTTGACAAATTTTTGACCGTAAGCCTTACTTGAAAAATGAGATTCCTTGCCAAATCGATCTGTTTCTGACGCTGAGCGTTTTCTGCTGTTGCTTCTGCGTAGCGGTTTATCAATTTTTTTTCCTGTGATGAACAAATCTGTAATCAAATTCTTATCTCTTTAAAAAACCATAAATATACAGTAAAGTAATCTGAATGTTACCTCTCTCTGAATAGCATCACTGAATGTGAGGCTATGGGTCATCGTTGGAAGAGGCATCCCGACATCTTCAAGTGTACCGTTGTATTTATTAGCATTTGTCTCATAATCCTGCAGGCATAAAAATGTTACATATGTTATTCCTTCATTTTTAAACATTAAAGATGAAAAAGAACTAAAAAGGCACATCCGAGCGCAAAGAGGAATGGATCGTTTCAGTGTGAACTGAAGCTAAATGTTTCGCACATAAAAAAACAGAAAAGAGGAAGAAGTTGAGTTAAAAAGTTCCTTTGTTTTCTTGTATTTCCTATTTCAGAGTTGTACTGTTACAGAGATATAAAAAGGTTATGAATTTTTATTTTCAATGCAGGATTTGACTAAATTGTTTTTAAAATGTGTACCACACGTTTCCCTGAGTTGGGATGGAGTTTAGGGGAGACAACTTATAAACAAGGTGAGGAAACACATCAGTTTTCAGGTAATTAACCTGCTGTAGTAAACATTATACTTTGTACTTATTAGTAGAGTACTTCAGCTCCAAAGGGGGAAATGTTCCTGGTCTGAGCAACTCTGTACAACTACAAATTGTGAAACGTTTGCAGCTCTGCTTCTGTTTCATTCTTACGCTGAGTATGCACTGCAGATCTTGAGAGAGGTCAACCACTAAGTCCATGTCGTCCTCCTTCTGCTTTAGATCCTTCATCACTCTCTGTGAGTTGAGAAAAGTTGCATTAATCCTTTAAATACTATTTAACTCAATTAAATGATGCACAGATATGATTTATTTTATGTGTAGTGCATCCGGAAGGTATTCACAGTGCTTCACTTTTTCCAAATTGTACTAAATTAATCTCTCTTTTTTTTCTACACACAAAAACCCAATTATGACATTGTGAAAGTTTGAGTGTTTTGCAAATTTATTAAAATACAAAGCCTATAAATCACATTTAAATAAATATTCACAGACTTTGGAATAAGGCTCAAAACTCGGTCCACGAGAAACAAGATTCTCTGGTCTGATGAGACAAAGACTGAACTCTTTGTGAATGAAAGGCGTCATATTTAGAGGAAACTAGATGCACCAATCCCATATTACTATCTGCATCAGTCCCAATGTTGAAAAAAATTATAGATCTGGTATTGGTGACAATGTGACTGATTCACATGGGCAGATCTATTGAGTCTAGCTCTATGGTTTGTGCTCTGAGCTACATGACGCTTCATTATTTATTTTACTTTATATTTAGAATTTCTAATTTCACCCTCTGAACCATTTGAAAGAAGATTTCCTACAGTTTATTTTTCACATGTTTGACTAAGGTACTGTTTTTTTGTCAGCTTCAGTTTATTATTTATTTTCGATTGGCTGTTTTATCAATCAAGTTTATTTGTATTGCACATTTCAGCAGCAAGGTGGTTCAAGGTGCTTTACATGATAAAAACACAACATTACAAAGTTTTAAATTAAACACCATACTGTGAACAAGTAAACAAACATGATGAGTCATCACCAAAATTATGCAACGTTTAATTTATTAAGGCTCAAAAGCAACAGCTGGGTTTTTAGTTATGACTTAAAGGAACTCTGTGTTTCAGCTGTTTTGCAGTTTTCTAGGAGTTTGTTCCAGATTTATGTCGCAATTCTCCTAACTGTGCTGAACAAATTCAAGTTTTGTTGTTTTTACATGTTACAAGCTTGTGAAGTGTGATGTAATGGTGCAGAGTTGTCAAATAAATTTGTAATTAATTTATGTTTGTTTTAAAACATAAAAGTTTTAAGTCAGTTCTGCACTGTTTTGTTGGTCGATGCTGTAAAAGCTGCCTAAGGTGGCTCAGCAAAGTATTAAGCAAGGATGTGAACACTTATGTAAATGTAATTTCTTGGTTTTGTGTTTTTAATAAATGTGGAAAAATCTCCAAAACATTTTTTCCACATTGAAGCAATTGCATGTAGAATTTTGAGGAAAGAGATTAAATTAACAATTTGCAGTAAAGTGGAAAAAGTGAAGCACTGTGAATACTTTTCAGACGTGCACGTCTCTAAGGACTTTCATACCTGTTGGGAGATCTGCTTAGCAGTCACCTGCGACAGCCCATCGTTGATATTTATCTGATTTGTTGGCAGGCTGTCCAAGAAAGAGTTGAGATATTTGCACAGGCTCTGGAACTCCAGGTACGCTGACGAAGCCTCTTGCAAAAGGTTTTCTCTAAAAGATGTCAGGGGAAAAAAAAGATTAATTTTCTCCACATCTTTGCTGTTATCAAATATATTTCTTCTTAAGAACATTAAGTTTTTCTTTTCCTTAAAAGACATTTAGCAACACTTAAAAGTAAACACAGAATTTATGAAATGTTCTTTCACTTTTTGTTACTATCAAACTTAATTTGTTTAACTGGGGATAAACAAATCCCAGTACAGCTAAATTAAATGAACTGAAATCCTCTGGTTTGTCTCACCTTTCCTTCAGCTGGTTGGCAACATTTGTGTAGCGACTCTGCAGCTGTCTGACGTCGTTCCTCTGGTGCTGGATGTCAGGGCAGTACTCCTGGTGGTCTTTCTGCAGGGAGCTGCACAACCTCTCAGTCGCCTCCAAATCCTGATTCAGTTTCGTCATGTCATCCTGGATCCCTGCTACCGATTGCTGCTGGCGCTAAACACAACAAAGGGGACGCCCAAAATAAAATATACACTGTACAGCCAAAAGTTTTGAGTTGTCCCAACTATTCTACTGGCCACAGCTGTAGGTGATTAAAGGTGACCTACCATACTTTATTGAACAGGTTAGGATGTTTCTATGGGCTAGACAAAACATGTTTATTGCATTTTTTGCACAAAATGATTCGACGGTGAGGCTTTAGTCTGTTCAGTTCTGAGTATTTTGAGATGTTTTAGGGCGTCTTGTCACTTTAAATCCAACTCAACGTTTACACTCAAACGTAAAAATGGCTGCAAACAGATACACAATTATGCAATTGTACATCTTTGAAAAGCAGAAGTGGAGCCTCCTGCACAACCAACAAGAATGGGGCAAGTGGTTTCTGGATGGCAAGTCATCAACAAAACACCTGTGTTTTCCAGCAGCCATTGTACAGCACATAGTGGTAGAACTAAATGTGCTGGAACTCTGCTGGGGATGGGGTTGGGGTAAACTGATAATATGACTCAACAATAAGGAGGTTTTTGAAATGGTTCATTAACTTATTCCCCAAAAACAGCCAGCTTTTAGGGAATAAAAAGCGCTGAAAACTACACTTTTTTTAAGCGTTTGGGCTGTTTTTAGAAGCAACTGAGACCAAAATGAAAGTATAATAAAATACAAAATATGAAAATATGAATATTTTGCCCAATACATCCCATTTAAACGTCAAGTCATGCAGACTGCTTCTACAAACATTTGTAAAAGATTGGATCTCTCTCAGGAGCTAAGTGAACTCAAACTTTGAGAGGATGTCATCTGTGCAAAAAGTCCAGCCTAAATATTCCACATTTAACTGAGGAAACGACAACAACTCAGACATGAAGACTCCAAAAACTGATGGAAAGTCTTATTAGAAGAAACTGTTGTAACTGCAAAGGTTTCCCTGTCAAAGCCTTTGTCTTAAAAACAGTTTGTGTGTTTGTGCAGAAGCTAATAGTGATACAGTCTGCTGTAGATATCCTCACCTGAATGTCTTCAGTGTGAGTTTGAATTGCATTTGGTATGTCAGGAATTTGACCGTCTTCACTGAGGTTTCTCTCAAGCCCATAAACAAGATCGTCCACCTTCTGAATTTGACTCTCCAGGCTGAGAGACGCATTCGCTCTGAGAGAAACAGGTAAAAACAGCAAGCTGTGATCTAAAAAGCCTAAACTTTATAAATACTACCACTGCTAATAATAATAATGCAAACTTACTTTTTACTGTAGAGATCCGCCAGAGCGGCTAAGCTATCGTGCTTGTTGCTAGCAGCACTCAGTCTGAGTTGCAGTCCAGACATGATGCTGCTGGACTCAGCAGGGAGGAAAGGCTGCAGGTCGGCCTCTGCAGTCTGAATCTGCTGCTCCAGAGCCTTCAGCGCCTCGGCAGCTCGCTGTATAAAACAAATATGATTTAGAAGAATTGTGAATTGTTTCACAATCCTCTGAAGTTAAGCCTGGTGCTTGTGCGCACTTTTTCCTTCCACTCATCTTTCCATGAACATGTTGAATGCAACACTGAACTCCAAAAACACAAAATTATACCAAGTATTTTGTCTATTTTCTAGTGCAAATACCTTAGTAAACTTGAAATAAGACAAATCTGGCTAAAAAGTAACTTTTCAGCAAGATATAGGAGCTTGTTTAAAGTCAATAAATTTTTCATATTGATTTTAAAAAGTACTAGTTCCTCTGGCAGATTATTTCAATTATGGCATGGGAAAAATGTTGTATCGTAAGTGAAATAATAATAACAGAGGAAGTAGTACTTCTTAAAAATCGATATGAATAAATTGTTGACTTAAAACAAGCTCATATAACTTGCTGAGAAGTTACTTGTAAGTCGGTTTTGTCTTGTTTTAAGTGTATTAAGATATTTGCGCCAAAAACTAGATAAAAATATATTGTAAGATTTTGTGTTTTTGCAGTGCGCAGCAATGCAATTTAATGGCTTCTTCTTCTTGCGAAGTGAGTCGGTGACTGTCTGCTTTAAATTTAATGATATAACATTTCTTCATGAAGAAAGGTCTTCTTTTTTAATTGGTTTGATATCTATTTAAAATAAACAGATGAAATAAATCCTTCTGTATGGTTAAAGTCTAAATATAAAAAATTTAATTACTCGAAATGAATGAACTTTTAAAGACATTTCAATTTACTTAGTGTACCTCTAAGTGTCACAATCCGTATCAGCATGCAATAAAATGAACTCTGTGAAAATAAAGCTACATTTTTTTCTCCCCATGAACTAAATTTAAATATAATCAGATCCCTAACGAGAGTTTCTTCCCTCTGAAACCATCGGTGTTTGTGTCGACTCACCTCCTGCTCTCTCAGCTTCTTGGCCAGATCTCTGGCTGGGTCGGTGCGGCTCACCGGGGTTCGCAGGCGGCTCAGCAGGCCCTGCTCCGTGTCGGCCAGGTCGGAGTCCAGCTGGTCCAGCTGCTGAGCCACAGCTGCCAGTTTGGGGTCTTGAGGAGCTGAAGAAACTGGAACTGAGTGAAGAAACAGTAAAATTGCCTTCTGATTAATCTGACCTAAAAAAACAGGGACGTCTTTGTGTCAGTCGGTAATTACTCATTGAAATGGGTAGAAATCCTATATGAGGTTCCTCAAGGTTCAATTCTGGGACTCCTCTCATTTAACATAATAACTGTATTATGTTTTTAATGGTGTACAGCACTTTGTTGCTGAACTGTGCCATACAAACAAACTCTTCTTGGTCTCTGAGGCGTTTTAATCTGCTCACAGATTAAACATCATGACGGTAAAGAAGTGAAAGACAAACACCTGACTGCTGAGCGTTACAGACATCTGATCTGCGGTTCTTCAGGGACGCTGCCAGAGCTGCTCTCTTTTCCTTGATTTCTGCCAGCTCACTCTCCAAACTGAAAATACAAACACAACGAGTATAGTACATGTTTTAATAGCAATACTTTCCATTTCCAATGCAGCTTTCCATTACTTACGAGTCAACTTTATCAATGGCGTCTGGGTCAGGAGGTGAGATCAGGAAGCAAACTCCTGGGAAAGTTTCAGTTTCTCCATCAGCTGAGATTACGTCCCAGTTCTCGTTGTCAGAGAGGGATTTCAGGGTGAACGTTTCCCCTCTGGACAGAGAACCCTAATGGCGCAAAAATGAAGTCAAATTATCATTTTAAGGAGGTCTGAAAACAATAAATCAGGCTGAACAATTACAGAAAGAATCTCAACACTCAGTCTTGTGAGTTTTGCTTAAAGAAGATTCAATAAAAATGCATTTTGGACCTGGTTAGTCTCCCAGTCACACAGCGACTTCACTGCGATGGGAGTGTTGGAAGAAACGCGACGCAGCTTCAGAGGGGAGATGGTTGAACTTCGTCTCCTCAGGTCGGTCAGCAGCTGCTCACAGTTCTGCACCGTCTTCTCTTCTCCCTACAGAGAAGCAAAGCCAGTTGTCTATTGATTTTCATCAGCTGACCGCCCATTTCTTGCTTTTATACGTTTCTTTTCAATGTATTTTCATCTTGACTCGTGTTATTTTGTCTGCGATTCCCCCTAATTTCACCACAACCTATTGCCTCCTAGTGAGCCGTACAAAAATCATAGCCTTTTATAACAATGTACCAAACCAGTCCCTCCAGAAAGTCGTGATTCACTGATTGTTCACAAATTTTCCACTGACTCGCAATTTTCACCAGTGATCCCAACTTTTTCTGCAAATCTGACCAATCACCTTATTTTCTGTATTTCCTTCACTGTAAAATGTTTGAGCCGCATTTAGTTGTGTCTACTATCTTCTACTCTTTGAGTCAAATAAATGTAGCCAGTTTTATATTTTGAGCCTAAATGTGAGTTTGTGAAAAATAAACTTACAGCAGTAAGTTGTGTTAACTTTTTATCAATTTTGCAAACCTCCAAGAGTTGAATAAACTAGAGTTTTTCTCAGTTTTTCCTCCCGCTTTACCTTCTTGCTTTCATCTTACCTCCATCTGCAGAAGTGTCTTTGAGTTACTCTTCTGACTGACAGACTCTGGGGCCAAAGTGGTGCTGAGTTCAGTCAGTGTCTCTGACAGCTCCTCAGTGTCCATTTGAAACTGGAAGAAAATGGTACAAAAATATTCATGTTGTGGTTTGAGAGAAGCTAAAAACACGTTGGACCGCTAAAAACATTGTCCATGCAATAGCATGTCCTCCTATTACATACTTTTACCATATTTTCTTACCTTTTTGAATTCATCCACGTTTTCCAGATGTGTTTCCTGACAAATGCAGAGATTCAGGAACTTCTGCCATTCGGTTCTCACCATTTCCATTTGGGCCTTAAAGTAAAGAATCAGACTGCATTAAATAAACATTCAATCTTAAAGTTTAACTCAGGTGAAATCTTTAAAGGGGCCATATAAAGCAATGTCTACTTCTTGCACATTTCTACGTCCAATTGGGTGTCAACGGCTTCTAGAAGCAACCCAAACACTAGAAAAACACCCAGATGTTTTATGGAAATAAGTTAATGTTTTTTGGTGGCTGGAAAATGAGCCGATTTCAAGGTCAAATTGTCACCAACTGCTCCTTAACCTATTGACCCTTTGCACGTGACGTCACTCTCTTCGAAACTCCGCCCACTCCGCCATGATGGATGTCAAAACAACCAATGCGCTCCTATAAACCGGTCAAAAAACGCAGCTCTGGTAGCCTAATATCGCTTTTATTTAGTTGATTTCGCAGTAAAATGGTCATAGGATGCTGCGCGGTCAATAGACAAGGGTGAAAACCAAACTTGTCATTTTATTAATTTTTAATGAGGGAAGATGTGGCGGCGATGGATAGCAGCCGTTAATCATCCCTCGGTGTAACCGGGGATTTGCAGCGAACACTTTTTACAAAGTAAACATCTCATTATGGCGAATGGACGAGTCGAACTATCAGTAACCATGGAAACAATGCCCCGCCATCATGTAGCCTAGCATGTACAAAAAAAAAACCTGGTCTTCTGCACGTTTTTAATGCTGCTCCGGTGTAAAGGGAGACGCTCTTTATGACTTAATGACATAAATCATGTGCTGTGAATTCAGGCAAAGCCGATCATTTGATCAACATGTCAGGACGGAGGAGGTATGGGTCGGTTTCTAAGCTAGCTGTTTCCGACATCCATCATGGCGCTTCGAATGATTCAGTGACGTAGTTGCAAAGGGTTAAGAAGTGAAAGCCAACACCGTTACGAGCCCAGCCTCGTTACCTAGCAACCCAAACGGAACTCCGGCACGTTTGGTAAGCTAACTTTACTGCTGTACAATAGCTGCTAGAAAAGACAAGTGTTTTGTTGTTAACTTATCTTTGATCTTCAAAGATGTAATGTTGTACAATTGTACGTCTCTTTGCAGCCATTTTCTTATGACTCCAACTCAACTCAGCGTTTGAGTGTAAACGTTGAGTTGGGGGGCGTGGACAGCAACGAATAGTTTGGATTTAAAGTGACAAGAGGCTCTAAAACAGTTAATTCTGAAGGGAGCAAACTGAGATGTCATTATCTGAGAATGGTTTTGTGCTAAAAAAAAATGTAATGAATATGTTTTTTATAGCACATAGACATATCATAACTTGTTAAAGGACGCATAAGCCAGGTCTCCTTTTTAGACTGACTTCAGTACCTGTATTGTTTCGCTGGCCGGGTGGTTCAGTTCGATGAGCCTTTCTCCTTCATCCTGGAGTCTGTTCACTTCACTCTCATGGAACAAAAGACCGTTGTTCTTGAAGTTCTGATTGGGAATAAGTCAAAGCTTTTATATCTACTGTTACAGCGAGATGCTAATTGAACTATTTTTCATTTAACTAATGCTTAACAGATTCTCTAACTTCTGTCTTAAAAGCTTAAGGTTTCTAAACCCCTCTGTTGAACTTCCTTTGCTTTATTTTGTTTAAGAAGTCCTAACTAGGGTGTTATTTTTATCTGTTTATAATGTTTATGACAAAGAATCTGCAGTTGAAACATTATGAACACCCTACAGGTGGGTAAAAATTATTTTATTTAATAAAACAGCATTACAGCAGAATTAAGAGATATTAAAACCAAATTTTGATTTGCTCTGACCTCATAGTGCCTGCGGATGTCAGGAGGATGCAGCATTTGATCGCTCCAGTCCTGCTTCTTGATCTTTTCCTGTTCTTCTCTCAGGAAGTTCAGCTGCCTGCTGCAGCCCTGCATGTAGTCGTAGAGGCTGTTCAGGTAGTGGCGCCGCCACTTGGAGTCGTCCTCAGAGACAAAACCAGCAAAACAAAATTCAATCTCAAAGGTTAGGCTGTATTTTCATTTTTATTCATGAAATACCTCTAAAAACAACTACAGAGTGTTAGAAAAAGAAAACAAAACTCAGAAATTTTAAGATTAATCTATGAAATATTTCAGAACAAACAAGAAAATTTCTGAGTTTAAAGAGTCAAAAGAATTGGTGGAAAAAAACTCAGGAACTTTGACATTAATCTATGAAATATTCCAGAAAAAACAAGAAAAGTCCAAAAGAATTGCTAGAAAAAACTTTGACATTAATCTCAGAAATTTTCTACAAAAAACTTTGAACTTTTTGGAGTTTTCAAACTCAAAAATTTCCTTGTTTTTCCAAGAGATTTTTTTAAGCAAAATTGCACATTTTGAAACTCAAAAATTTCTGTTTTTCTACAACATTTTTTAATTATTCTTGAAATTTCTGAGTTTTTTCTAGCAAAGTTTTGACTTTTCAACTTTTGTCTTTTTTAGAAACTTTCTTAGATTTGTTTTGGCTAAATTTACTCCTCCTTTTTTAATATGCTGTTTTAAAAAACAGACTGACCCTAAACCTAAAATAACAAAAAAAGCAACTTACCAGCAGGTTGTTATATTGTTTCTTAAAGACAGCATATTTCTCCTGAAAAATAAAAAAGACAGTAACACATAACATTAATTGTCTCTACCAAGATTTTACTGAGAGTGAAGAAGATGAAAAAGCTTTATTTTTATTGGCAAAGGTCACTTATTTGTTCAGTCATAGTTGCGGCTACAGCTTAAAACATTGATTTTAGATGTATTTGTTGTAAAATAAACACGTTTCCATCACACCTTACTACTTCTGATATGAGGAGCGGCCATATTGAATGCGACATCTGTTTCATAAATTATTACTGATATTTCTAACTCAAAAGTCAGAATTTCCCATTTTCAACTATGACTGGGACGCAGAAAATGTCCCAGTCGTACTCCTTTAACTCCTTTAACTCCTTTAACTTTTTCACATTTTTGTCATATTGCAGAAACTTCTCTGTATCTGGAAGGCTGGTGTTTGGTGAGAGAAATCCACCAGTTTATGATTTAATCTCAGTCTAAATGCAGAGTTTCTGTGAAGGACGGCACACAAATCAGGGAGAAACAATTTAGGCAGATTTAAAATTAGGGTCAGGTAATACAGTCTTGGCAAGGAGAGGAATAAGATCCACAGAGTCCAGAATCCATTTATCTGCTCCATATATCTGTTTTTTATGGCAGAGCTGTTGTTGACAGAAAGCCATAAAATGTTTGCAGTTTGTCAGAAGCTTTGTAGTGAATATTCCTGTATTAAAGAGACCTAAGTCCATTTGAATCTCTAGACTTGTTAGCATATATTCTCAATACAATTTTATTTTCGCAAAAACAAACGTCAGATAATAATTCAGTTTCTCAGATTTTTATTTGTAAAAAAATACTAAAATTGTTTTATCTTTTTTTTTTGTCACTTTGCAGTTAAGCACTGTTCTGAGTGGCTATGAGGAACCAAAAATGTGAAAAGGTCCCATATGTCTGAATACTTTGCCAGTCAACATAAGTGCTATTGTGTTGAAATAAGCATGCCGACCTTGCTGCCTGCAGAGCTGACACAAAGCTGGGAGCTGTAAGCCTTTATCTCTTTATGCAGGATGCTGTGAGCAGCAATCTGCTTCTCCAGGTCGGCCATGGTGGGGCCGTAATCCTCTCTGTTCAGCTCTTTCTGAAAGCAAAAAGCACAAGAACAGCCCAGTTCATGAAAATGCTCAAACCTTGTCAAATTCTACAGGGTCACAGTATCTCAGAGTGAGATTCTTTAAAGCTGCAGTATGTAACGTTAATAAAAAAATATGTTTTTTACATATCTTGTCACCATGTTGTGACAGTATAAAACACATAATCTGTGAAAAATAATCAAGCTTCTCTGTGTTTTCCCAGTGCTAACTGCAGAAATATGCCACTCAGTCAGAAACAACCAATCAGAACCAGGAGGAGGGTGTTAGCGCTGTCAATCACCCTCCTGTACACTGTAAAACATTTGAAGGTGGTTCAACTTGAAGATGAAATGAATGATTTTTATCTATACAGCAATAATAGCTTGAACAGGAGGTGGAAGAGATCAATCTTTTCACAGATTTACTGTTTCACTATGATAGATTTAATAAATATGAAAAAATATATATTTTTGTAAAAGTCACATACTGCAGCTTTAAATTCAAAGATCGCCACCAGTGTGAAGAGCTCTGATGTTTCTCTACACTTACTTGCTTCTGGGTCAAAATGGGCCCCCAGTTAATTATGGGCATCAGCGACACGTCGTCAATCTGGTCATAGATGTCTCTGTAGAAGGTGCAGTCCTTCAGCCACCGCTCATGAAGGTGGCTTATACTGGAAAGTCACACAAAGAACAGTAAAATATCTATTAAATTATGTCATTTATATGCTTATGTTTTGGCCTGGTGCTTTAGTTTGATCATATTGGCCAAAACTGGAGGAAATCAAATGTCTCTGAATCAGTTCTTTGTGATTAAACACCAGTATGTCCATCCAATGTTCTCACTCATTTTCAATCTCTTTGGCTTGAGGATGTTTGAGCTTCTTGGCTTTATCGACGTCCAGAAACAGATCCTTCAGCAGGTTCTCTGCCTTGCTCAGTTTGGTCGATATCTCAGTTTGATGTTTAAATGGAAGGTCTTTCTTCTCATTTTCAACATCCTGATAAAATCACAACACAGAGAAACAGATGGTTTGATGTGTATTTTGTTTATTCATGCTGGTATCACCATAATCATTTACAGTTTAAACATGCTAAAATAAGTTTTCTAATGTTTTTTTGTATTGATCATGAATCAAACCATATGCATGTACTCTGATGATATGTACGCTGTATAGTTGGATTTAAAACATGTTTTTCGGTACTTCATGGCAGTTCTGTGGGATCCCTGTGTGCTGGCATGAACTGAACAAATAGACATAAGCTTTGGATTTTACATGAAGCTTTTCTGTGTAATGAAAACTAATTATAAAGGTCAGTTCAGGGATCCAGAATAAGTCTTAGTGAAAACTATAAAAACAGTAAAAACAAACTGCAAAAACACAAAATCTTACCACATAATTTTACTCAAGTATTTGGTACAAATATCTTTGCATACGTGAAATAAGACAAAATGAACTTACATGTAACTTTTCAACAAGGAATAAGAGCTTGCTTTAAGTCAATAATTTCTTAGTATTCCTTTAAAAATGTCTTTGTTCCACTGTCAGACTATTTCACTTATAAAAAGACATTTTCACGTGTTTTTAGTGAAATAATCTGCCAGTGGAACCAGAACTTTTTAATCAATATTAAGGAATTATTGACTTACAACAAGCTCCGATTTCTTGCTAAAAACTTACTTGTTAGTTACTTTTGTCTTATTTCAAATGTACTTAAATATTTGCACCAGAAACTATACCGAAATACTCTGCAGTGAGTAGAAAAAGTCAGTTTAAAAAGCGTAAAGTTCCTCAAAACATTTTATTTATAAATGCCTTATAAAAGCCTTCTGTCAGCGAATCAGCTAAATAACTTATGCTGATGTTAAAGTTTGTTACGTTTCCATGAGGCCCGTTTGTCAGATTAAAAGTACATTTGAGAATAAAAACATTTAAATATAAGCTCACTTTTCTGTTTTAAATATAACTTTTATGAATGGTTTGATGTAATATCCTCATGTTAAATGTTATGTTTTCATTACCTGTAAGGAGAAAACATCCATCTGTGTGTAATTAATCTACATACAGTGTTTCAGTAGGTGATGATAAATGTCATTTTCAGCACTGTTCCAGCTAAATGGATCTGTGTATTTGGTGGCGGATCTGGTTTTTCTCACCACAGCCAGCATCTCTTCTGACTTCAGGATTTCTTTCTCCACCTGGTCGGCGTTCGATTGCATCTTGGAGATCAGCAGAGCCAGGCTGCTTGCCTGCGTCCTGCAGGGAGGAAATCACAGGTTCAGATAAAAACTGAGAGACATTTGGTTCAGTCTTTTCAAAATCATCCGTCTAAGTGACCAGGCTTTCTAAAACAGTAACTTACAACACTGTTTTGTGACTTTTCTAGTCTGTAGGAAACAGTAAATGGAAAAGACAAAGAGCAGGTTTGGTTGGGAATAAGTTAGAAGATGTCAACATTTATTCTTTCTTACAAATATCGTTCAGTTCTTTTGAATGAATGACAAAACAGCTTGAAACATTTTTATTTTTGTTCACACTGCTGTGTGAGCATTTTAGCTTTACATGAAATTGAAAAGTATGTAAAACTTAAGAAGTTAGACCAAAAATATCTGTTTAAAATCTCATTATTGACCAAATTCCTCCCTTCAAAACTCTTTATATAAAATAGGAACTAATTTATTGGTATTTTACTCCATTTATATTTTTGTGTTTTTACCTTTGAGTTTGAAGAAAACTATCAAAAAGAAATATTCAGATTCCAGTGTAAGGAAAATGAAAATATAACACTACCGCATGTCCTTTTACCGAAGTAGACATTGAAAAATAGGCTAAATGTATGACTTTATTCATATTTAAGCCACTCGAATTAAGGGAAAATAATGGACACGTGTTGTTTTGCGGATACAATGTAAAGACTGTTTTCTGCAAACTGAATAAATAATCTTTTCCACTGGTTGATCTCTATACTAAAGCAAAGGATGTCATTTTTTTTGTGACACTCCAGTCCAGCAGGTGGCAACAATGTGTATTTAAGCTGCCCGCAACCGTCACCAGTTATTTCAAAAGAAGAAGCAGTGACAGCAGAAACATCAAACGGGAGATGGAGAAAGTAGAGCATGTAATAATTTATTGTGATAAATAAAAGGTGAATAGAGAAAAATTAAATCAAGAAATATGGTGTGGAGTGAAGAGTTAAACATGACAAAATAAATAAAACAATTGTTTTTAGACAAAATGGGATAATATAGAAGAATTTATTAAGAAAAATATTCCGGCACAAGTAGATGGCGATAATACATGTAAACGCTGGATGTCACCCCACCGCCATTAGACGAAGAAGAAGAAGAGGATATAGCAACACCGGCTAGCATAAGCTAAGACGATTAGCACTTATGGGGAAAATGCAAAGAAAATGGTGTAACTGAGAAGTTAATAGGAAGGGGAAAAAGCGACATTTATAAGTTGAATTCACAATTGACCGAAATATTCAGCAGCAGATCTACGGCAAAAGTTTACATTGATACTAGAATCACATAAATTAGTAAAGAGCAAAGTGTGAGCCATGTGAAGGTAGGACGGCCATCTGTGATGATGAAGGATAGGAACTTAAGATAAAGATAGAGTACATTTATATATAGTTGTGTGAATTGTGACAAAGAGTGGATCACTTTTTTTACATGGTTACTCTCTTCATTGTAGGTCGCTGCACATTATTTTAATATTTGAAATAAGACAAGATGCGCATATACCCTGTAAGTCATGTGCATTGCATATCACATAAAAAATATGGACCACCATGACTAGTTTTTGGTCCCAGTTCAGCCCAGTCCTATATATGCATAGGCCTGTTAATTAATCACATGATTAATTAAAACAAACGCAATCATTTTCATTTGCTTGATTTATTGTTTTTCTATTTTCTCTCTTTCTTTCTACCAAAAACTGGATGATAAGAGTCTTCAGTCTGGTGCTTTGGTCAGTTTGGACAATTTTGTATACAGAGACTTAATAATTCATTTTATTTGTTGTTTCTGTTTATTTGTTTTGGATATTTAAAATGTCTTCCAGTTCCAGTGTTAAATGGTCATTAGAATGTAAAGTTTATTGATATTTAAGAATCTGTTCTTGTATTATTTTAACATTACCCTTATATTAATTGAAAATGGTGTCATAGCAACAATATTATTGTTTATTGCAAGAAATTACAGGACTATTTATAATCTAGCAAAATTTGTTATCGTGACAGTCCTATATATAAATCCACTGTTTGTTGCTTGGCTGGCTCAGGACTGTGAGATTCTTGCAACAAATAGTATATTCTAAGCTTTTCTACCTAATCGGATCTAACTGATAAAACTCCGCCGTTCACACTAAGCAAATGACAGATCAGCCAGCTATCATTTAACAGGCAATGCTAATGAGCTAATGAGGCCTATGGAAAATGCATTCATAACATCTAGGTTTGTTTTTGCGAAGCTGTGATGAGTAGAAACAAATATTGACACACCCAGACGCCCAAGTTTGTTCGCTGATACTACCACCATTTCGTTCTGACCTACCCTGAGGATGAGGGGGGGAAATAAAATATTTCAGTACAATTTTAAAATACTTGTGAATTCTGATTGGTGGTTCATTGCCTGCTAGCCAAGTTGCACCAAACCTTAAGCTTTCCCCTTAACTGGCACCTACATGGAGTAACATAAGAGCAGGTAGTGGTAATGATCCAACAAACAACTCCACCTCACTGCTACCTGCTTACTCTTAGAGTAATCTTAGCTGAAGTCTTTGTACCAGAGCAGCTGCTTATGTTGAAGGGAGTTTCCTGAGTGTGAAAGCAAAGGCACTGACTCACAGGATGTCCAAATAACAGCAGCACACACACACACACACACACACACACACACACACACACACACACACACAACACACAGATCTGCACTCCACTTGTTTCCATTTAAAAAAGAGAGAGAAGGTGACAAAAGGTGTGGGTAGCAATATTAGCAGGGATGGTAGTAAAATACACAGATACACACCAATAAAAACAATGTTGATAATTAATCCAAATATCAAGTTACTAAAATGCTGGAAACAAGGATTGTGACAGATCAGCCAGCTATAAAATAGCAGCAAATCATGCAGTTTTTTTTTTTTGTCTTTTTCAAATCAGATGAGAACAAACAGTAAAACGTATTTGTCCTGATTATCATGAGGCTTCTTCGTTGACACGACACACTGTGGTTGGTCAACAGTGATGCCATCTTCATGGCAATTTAATTGGAAACACACTATAACATAGGTATATGTACTTTACATCTTTACTGTTGAGGCAGTTCAAGATTTCCCTCTTACAATGTTGACTGTAAACATGTTTTATGTGTTTGTGTGCAGCAGCACCAAGATCTTCAGCTGACATCTTTTTTAGTTCAACGCCAAACGCAGCTTAGCCCATAGCTATTCATACATACAGATTTAGATTTAATTGTTTCTGATTGGAAATGACACAAACATTTCCCAAAAGACAAAAAAGTATGTAAATTCTAGTTTCCATTTACATTCTTACAAAAGCAACTCCAAAAAAAGATTTATACTGAATAATTATTGAAACATAGTTTATTGACATTACTTCAATCAAACATCACTTTTAATAGCTGACCAGCTTTTTAATTTTGATTTCTACTTGTACTGTTGATGCAGATTTCTTTAAGCTAAGCAGGGTTTTACCCAGAAAGCTTGCTGTGCTCGGTGGTTGGGGCGCTAGGGCAGTCATCCAGCAGTTCGCCGTGTTTTTGAGTTAATAAATGTTTAAAGTTGACAGGACATTTGAAAATATCACTTGATAATTATGTGTTATTGGAAGACTGGAAGATTAATACCTAAACCCTAAAAATAAAGTGTTTAAAAAAGAAAACTGTTAAAAAAAACAACTAAAATAAGTAAACTATGCTTAGGGGGCACAAGTAAAGCCTGGTGGCCCGTCAGGCTTATAATGCACTGGGGGAAAGCCTGGCTAAGATTTAAATCTTTTAAGTTGGAAGGCCTCCCTGCCATCACCCTAATCTTTAGGTCCCTGTACAGATTCTCTATCAGACTTAATTCCTGGCTAAACCAATCCAAAATGGCAACATTACAGTCAGATGAAATATACTAATAAAATTGAGCTTAACTGTTTTGGAAAGAAACATGCTTTGTTTGAACCACTTTGGGGTTCTGCAATGCCAGAAAAGATGGATAAATCTTGAAATATTTTATTGTATTTGTGCCACTTGATCCTCTAACTTAGGTACATATGATGTCAGGCTCTGACTTTCTCCATCCCTGCAGACTAACTTCACACAGAGTCACTGACTTTCTTTAACATTTCTGCCGGTTAAGTAATCGTAGAAACGGAAAGAAGCCGTCTTAACACCCAGGAAACATGAAACACTCCCATTCTGGAAAACAACAGGAAGGGGATGCATGACTGGAATTCATGCAAATCATAATTAATACAGAGCTGGATGTATTAATTATCCAGAGGAAAAACTCACTTGTTGATACTGCCTGAGCCCTTCGGCGAGCCGTCCTTGGTTTTCTTCGACTTTGACATCGCGGAGGAGGTGGAGATCCTAAGAAAGCTTCACCGTCTCAGTCGTACAGTTTCTTTGTCTTCAGCTTCCACCTTGTCTCCCTCTCTTTCTCTGTCTTTGGTTGTTCTTAAAAACACACAAACACTCTGACACATGAGCCAGTGCAGCTCTAAACACTGCTGACTCCTCCCAGACAGGGTAACAGGTGTGTTAACACCCAGGTATCCTTGTGGAAGAAGACTAGACTGACCTGTTCTTCACACTGCCCCTCTGTTTGTCCTCCTCCTTGTTTTCCTTTTCATAGGGGTTCATGACTGTCTGATCTTGGACCAGCACTTCTCAAACTACTTGGCAAGCTTTCCCTTAATAGGAAAAAACGATGGCAATGAAGTTTTATTTTCTATCATTCTACAATTGGCCTTCACTTAAATTACTTTTAAAAAGACACCATCCTTACAAGCAAACTACAACTTTTTAGTAAATGCCTATGCAGCTCTAGAGGTGATGACGGACTGCCCTTAAGGCCATGGAGGTTAACCAAGTTAATTTATTCAATCTTTCTAACTTACTTGTAGTCACACAAAAAGTAAAGTAGGAATTGAAGAGAAATATCAACCAAAACAGTCCATAATGTCAAAGCCATCATCTCAGACCAAAGTATTTAACCACCTATGTGACCTTTACCTCTTTCTTTGATCAGTGCTCAGACTTTAGCTGCTCTTTGAGGTTTTTAGGGACCGTAATTGCAATATGTTGACCTTCTGAAGATGCCTTTTGGTGGCCAGTTGAAGCTTCCTGTAGCCTGATCTTAAAAATGTAGAGTAAGGGTTTTACTGAGACCAAAGAGGAAGAATCCTTCCCCTGTGTGAGGAAGGGCCAAAAAGGCATCATTCTCTGTTTAGCTGATTTAAAAAACGCCGTAGTGGTAAATCTTTTTGCAAGGAATAAATACAGAGAAACACTAAAATACTCCTGTGTCTCAAATGTGATTGAATCTTATTTCTTGGCGTATCTTTGCTCGTATCTTTACTGTGACTCTGAATCGCTGCTTATATCCAGGCTTAGTGGAAGATTTACCCAACTGACACTTAAAGTATGAACATTAATCTTTATACAATACTGTCCTTGTTAAAGTATCCTAGGATTTGTAGTTTGCTGGCCTATTTAGTCACTGGCGCTGTTTTTCACTATAAAATATTTTGTCAATACTTAGGGTTGCCACCCGTCCCTTAAAATACGGAACCGTCCCGTATTTTGCTGTCACATGTTGCGTCCCGTATTGAACCGATACGGGACGCAATTTGTTCCGTATTCTACAGATGGTTATCTGTAATAATAAAGAATTGGTCCCCGAGAGCTGTTCCCTTGCAGCAAGGAGGTTCTGGNTTTGATTCCCGGCCCCAGTNTGTCTGCATGGAGTTTGCATGTTCTGCCTGTGCATGCGTGGGTTTTCTCCGGGTACTCCGGTTTCCAGTCCAAAAACATGACTGTCAGGTTAATTGGCCTCTGTGTTGCCCTGTGACAGACTGGCGACCTGTCCAAGGTGTACCCCGCCTCTCGCCCGGAGCGTTAGCTGGAGATTGGCACCAGCACCCCTCCCGACCCCACTAAGGGACAAGGGTCTAAAGAAAATGGATGGATGGTCCCCGAGAACTTTATATAGTAGGCTGCCCCAGTCATTGTTTCACTCACAGTGTTGGTGTTGCTATATTGTGTTCAACTGCTTTCTGGGTAACACGGACCGACACGCTGCCACCGCAGTGGTTTCTCAAATTAAGGTGAAGCAGCTACCATGAAGTAAAGAAAGAAACAGTGAAGGCTATATTTAGAAGGATGTTTAAGCAACTGTCATTGCTTGCATTTTTTTCCTAACAACATGGATGCTGCTGGATTCTCGGAAATGCTGAAAACAGGTGGTAGTTTAACGAGAAAACATCCAGAAGTTTCCCTCTACCACCACTACCCATCCGTTTTTCCTTTTCAACCTGGTATGCTGATGTTTGCCCCTATGCTTAACTGTGTTGCTGGTACAAACATTGTGCTTCTTCGGAGTTCCATCATGGAGCAAAGTAGCTTCTTCATGGACAGGAATTATAAACTGGAGTTACATAACCTGATTCTGTAACTTGATCATTGTCTTTATGAATTTAGCTGTGCTGTACTTTAGCTCTAAGGGCAACAGCACTCCAGCCTCTACAGCTGTTGCACTGTTCAGTAATTATTTTGTCCCCCTTAATGTTTTTTTTTTTTTTTTTGCCTGTTTGATTTAATGCCTGATTTGGGCATTCAACAGAGAAATTTCCATGTTTTGAAGGTCCTTTCCTGGGTTTTCTCACTGCCTACGATTATGTAAACTGTATTTATACAGCACCTTTCACAGTAAGAGTGCAACATGTTTGTGACTACATTTTCATCACTGGTGTGTGGATAGTTCTATTTACTGTTCTTTCCTTGATTGGCCCTGAGATGGAAAGTTGAAAGTGTCTCTCATACAACGGCTTCCAGAACAGATTCCAAGCTTTATTGTGAGTCTACACGATTAAGTGAAAATTGCAAAAGACAGGATGAATGGCTTTTGATGTGAAATTTTGTGATAAATAAAATAAAGCCATGGAAGTGACTAGTGGTTCTCTTTAGGAAGTGTTCACATAAATAAAGTTTCTCCCACTTATCACATGTTGGATTGGGGATGTAACAAGTCCAAAGAGTGAGACTATTCTAGGATACCCCAAGACCTTAATCCCAAGCCGGTCTTTCACTCCTGTCTTGAATCACTCTTCTTCCTTGTCCAAAATGTTTTCATTTCTGTCTGTGTGAGAACAGTCAGGGGGGACTGAGAATCTACACCAAGTCCCCTAACAATCAATCAACAGTGACATCGTGACCCTTCAAATCGGTTGTTCTCAGAAAGCATTGCCAATGAACGTAGAGTGTGAGGAGCAATTTGCTATAAAGACACAAATAGTTTGGACTCACAATCAAGCTTTGAATGTCATTTAGCCATATCCCATAACGACAATGTCCAGTGTAACAATATAGTGAAGGTCACCTAACCTTCACTATACCATCTTAAATCACTGAAATCAGCTTTGTCTGACTTCAAGGGCCTGACAATGATAAAAGGTACATAATTTTTTGTCTTGCATGAGTCAGAAAGCATTTTCACTCAACAACAGTGGCGCAAAAAGTGGGTATGCAGCGCATGCAACGCATAGGGGCGCAGCACCAGAGGGGGCGCCAAAATCCCATCTGGAGGGGGCGGCGCGCCGATTATGATTTCCCATACACTTCAGCGCGCCTTAGGCTCCTTCACCTCACGCACATGATGAGGTAAATGTAGCGCGAGTTTCACCCTCTCACCCCTCGCCTGGGGGGGGGATTTATGTTCTCGCATCCACCTGAACAATGTGCAGTTGCGCAACTGCTCGACAATGAACTTATGAGCCTCAGTGTTGTTCTAGGATGAATGTTCTTCCACACTGAGCCAGATTTATGGGTGAAGACACTAGCTGTAGTATCAAGGACAGTGCCATGCAACAGACACTGTGGTCACCAGAGGAGGTTTTGAAGGTAGTCAATACAAAACTGCCCTACCCTTTGTGAATGGTAGTGTGATACACCAAAAGTACCTGAATAACCTCATTAATCCAGTCACCGTACCTCTCCACGACTTAAACAGACTGGATTTGATACATATTGATGATAATGCATCAACTCAATGTAGGAGACAATAAAGACTCATAGAGGGTTGACTGTTAAACAATTAAATATGTACCTATAATATTCAAAATCCAATCAGTCTCATGAATTGTATTGTTTATTTCAGTCTCAAATCTACCAAGCTCAATCGGAGAGGTACATTCTCTTTTTGAGTGAGCCATTTCATAAATGTTAGAAAGTAGATATAACTCAATATTTGAATTTAAATTATTACATTTGAAATATTTACTGATTGAGTGAAAAGATGTAGCATTTGGTAATCACCCTAATGTATACTTTTATAACAGTGGATTTCTCTAATTCATTGTTCGTAATTTGCAGATTAATTTATTTGCATATTTATTCTGAAGAACATAACGCCAGTTATTTGCAGAAAAAAACCCTTATTTATTCCAGAGAAAATGCAGCTTTGGAAGATGAAATACTGAGGCTCAATGCTACTTGATGTACTATTGGCAAGCATTTGCGGAGCAGCCAATCCAGAAATGCCATTAATTTCCCTTGGCACTGATTGGCTGTATTCTGAAGAGGGGGCGATAAGGACGACTTTGGACATTAGATTCTGTCTTCCTATTCTTTACTTTGAAGCTTAGCTGAACATTACTAGCGTAGTTAAACAGTTTGTTGAAGTATTTTAATTAGAAGTTTAAGTATTAAGTTAAAACATTCTTGTTTTAGATAGAAGTGGTTTATTATGTGAATGTGTGTGGATCTTCCCATCTATTCTATAATACCTCACCTAACCAGACAGGTAATCAAAAAGCAATAACTGACAGAGTGTTTGGCTATAAATTCCTTATTGTCTTATTTGGTAATTTGGATTAAGATAAAAAGTTATTCATAACACACAATATTGGTTTTGGGTCTGTCAGAATGATCAAGAAGGATGCTTGATCATTCATATTCACATTATGATGAACCACTCATATCTCCAAAATTCAGCATTGTGCTTCTTTCCACTGTAGCAGGTAAAACTTTACTACACAAAGGAGTTCAAATATATTAAAATAAGAAGTTTACAAAATAAAGAGTTGGTGCTCTTGAACCATCATAACTTAATTTTATTGATATGTAATTCTTCAAACAATCAAACCTTGTTTAACAGCGAGTGAAAGAAATTTATTAAATTTTAGCAAGTAGTATTGCACCATGTCCCAATATCCCAACCAAATAAAATATCCAGTTTATGATATTCAGTTAAACCATAAAGATGAAACAAAGATAAACAAATACACCCACATGAGACCTTTCAGTAAACAAATGCAACTCAGCAGCAATTATTTTGTTCTGGCAAAAGACTTGGAGTTTCTCCTGTGTCAAAATATATCCTGTAAATACAATGAACTCTCCATGCACTTTTGATATTCTACAGAAACATTTTTCTGTAATATGTTTCAGATCAGAAAACTTCAAACATTTCTAGAAACGTGCATATTTTGAGTTGGAAGAGGCGAGTAGCATAGGTAAGCCAGTTGCTGGGTCTTTCTTACAACGATCCAGAGCTTGTTTGTAGTTGATCTTCTCATTTGTTATAGGGTCCACAATATCTTTGATATAGGCTGCCTCAGTTTGGATGTTCCTTGCAATAGAATTGTCAATCATTTTGGATGCAAGGGCATCTATGAGGGGGACTCTACGACCAGTGGAAGGATCTACCAGCCCCCCAGTCAGGTGTTGTGCCTCCATGTGACGAATAGCTGAATCTTTTGGCATCCAGCCTTTCTGAACAGCTTCTCCCACAGACAAAAGCTCTTTGGTCATGGGGTCTTCAACTCCAGTGAAAGCTTTCTCTGCATTAAGCAGCCGTTGGACTTGGCTGTCCTCAATAAGGCCTCTTTGTGCCGCCTTGCTAACTTTATATCTTTCTTTGTTGCTGATGTCAGTGATGCCACCTGTTGCTGCTTGAGCCTCCAGCAATCTTTGGGCAGTGGTAGGGTCGATCAGTGTGCGCAAGGTGGCATTGCGGATTGTAAAGCAGGTGCCTGTATATGTATCCATTATTCCAGCAATTGGCTGTGTTTCGGTGACTGAGGTGAGTTTGGGTTGCTTGGTTATGTCACCTGCAACAAGAAGGGCAAATTCTGAGATGGGAAGTTTGCCTTGTTTGTATTGTTGCAGATCATATTTTGTTAGCCTTCCTTCCTTGATAGCATTTTCAATAGGATACTGCTTCCCACTCTTGCAATCCTGCAGGACAGATGTTTCTCCATCAGGACCCATGGACGTTATCTCTTCCCAGTCACATTCTAGCTCCTGCAGATGAATGTACTGCTGGCGATCAATGAGGCCCCCAAGGTAAGCATTGTAAGGAGACATGTCTTTACCAGTTTCTGGATCCAAAATGGTGATTTTGGTCGAGACATTGGTTTCTTTGGTTCTTGTTTCCGCCTGTTCCTCTTTCTGCAGGTACATCAGAATCTCACGAATTGTGCTGTCTCGTTCATGAATCTTGTCTTTCTCGTCCAAGATCTGCCTTTCCAGTCGCTGGACATCTGACTCCATCTTAATGCTCTTCTGCCTGTTCATCTGTGTTCTTTCAGTCATCAGTCGAGTCTGTTGCTGGAAAGAAAGGCTTGTGTCGTGTTTCTTTCCTTCAAGAGTTCTAAGTTCTCGAGTGAGGTTGTCATTTTCCCTTACTAGAGCATCTTTGTTCACATTAAGACTTGTCACTTCTCTTGAATTGTTAGATTTGGTGCTCATCAAGAAATTGATTTTGTCATTGAGACGCCTGATTTCATCCTCCAAGTCTTGTCTGGCAAATCTGTTCTGAGACACCTGCTCCCTCAGACGGCGTTGCTCAGCTTCAACAGCCTGGTCTTTCTCCACGCGAACAACCTCCTTATACACCGTCTTTTCACCTGACTTCTCTTTCTGCAGAATCTCAAGCTTTATAGTGAGACTACGAATTTCCCTCTGGATACGTAGGATATCATGGGTTTCCTTGTCCACGTCAGAGCGTAAACCACTTGTCATCCTTTCCAGTTTTGGATCTCTTTCTACCTTCAGCACTTCCTCAACCACTATGCTCTCTTCAACAGGAGGTGGGGCATTTTCCAGTTGTGTGATGCGTAGTCGGATCTCTCTGAGTTCAGATTCAGCTTGGATCCTTTTTTGGTGCTCATCACTCTCTCTGATGATGCGCTCCTTGTCTTCCAACTTCGTTCTTAGTTGCTGTAACTCCAGATCCAGCTGACGGCGTCTTGTTACTTCTTCATCCAGGTTCCTGCTCAGCCTGTCATGCTCCATTGATTGCCTTGGATCCTTTTGAAGTCGTACAACCTCCTGCACCACAACTTTCTCTTCAGGTTTCTGTCTCTCCAAAAGGAGGAATTTGTTTTGAAGGTCAAAAACCATCTCCTCAATGCTTCGCCTCAGCTGTGCTTCATCCCGCACTTTTTTTCGCAATCGTTCTGCTTCCTTCTCCAGCAGTGGATCAGGCTCATACTTTATTAATTCTCTGTTGACCAGTTGGGTCTCTATCTTGGACTTTTCTGCCTTCCATTCATCTCTTTCTTTCTGCAGCTGTCTAACCTGGTCTTCAAGAGAGGTGCACTGGCTGTCTAGGCGGTTCACCTGATCATTTAACCTCTGGATCTCTCGCTCGTTTTCAGGGCTTCTTTCTTCTTTCACCACCTCTTGGGTAACCTCTTTGAATTCTACTTTGGGTTTCTCTGAACAAAGGGTATTCAGATCAGTGTTGACCTGCCTGATCTCCTTTTCCAGATCGGTACGTTGTTTATTCGAATCCTGTATTTCTTTGCGGAGGCGCACAATTTCTACCTCAGTAGTCGGGTCAATCCGGTATATCTCATTTACAATTTCTTTTATCTCAATTCTTGGCTTCCAGTCTTGAACTTCTCTGTAACGCTTGTGTAGCTCGATCACTTCTTGGGACAAAGAGCTATTTCCAACTCTCTCCTCCTCCACAACTGTTCGCAGCTTAGCTGACTCTGTAATGAGGTCAGGGTCTTCCTCAATCTTTTTAATCTCCTTAACAATGACTTTAGGCTGAATGTTGGGGATCATTCTTTCAAGCGCATTGATTTGACTTCTTGTCTGAAAGATTTCATCATTGAGGAGCTTGCACTTGTTGTTCTCATCAGAAATGTCAGTCTCAAATATTTTTAATTCTTTCAACATCTGTGGATTTTGTTCTACTTTAACTACTTCCTTCTTAACCACTCTCTCCTTGATAGTTGGTCTCTTCTGCTGGAGGATAGAAACTTCTGTCTTCATTTGGATCTGCTCTCCATCTTTTACTCTGATCTCATCTCTCATCCTTGCCATCTCATCTCTTATCTTTGCAGCCTCTACGTCCAGCTGTGGATCTTTTTCAAACTCAGTCACCTCTCTAGTTAGCAGTTTAGGGGTTTTGTTGTTAATGGTTTCCTCCAGGACGGTGATTTTCTTGTTTAAGATTTCAACCTCTGCCTGGACGGTGGTCCGCTTCAGGGCCTCTTGATTGAGAATGTTACTCAATTCAGCCAGATCAGCTTCCAGTTTAGGATCCCGGTAGTATTGCAGTACTTCTTTCTCCTCAACACGTTCCACTCCTCTGCGGCTCTTAAGTGACATCATTCTGGTTTTGAAGGTTTTTAGCTGTGCCTGAGCAACGGTCGTTCTCTCCTTCTCTTCGTCTAGTTCTTTAAACAGACTGTCTAATTCAAAGGCATTTTTTTGCTGGTTTTCAAGCTGCACCTGTTGCTGTGCCACCATTTGAACTTTTTCTTCACTCTGCGATAGAAAAGGCAATTTTTTAAATATTTAAACACTTTATGATTTTATTTTCAGCTTAGCTTTAACAAGCAGTTACAGTCTCAAGGGCATAAATATATTTTTATGACTTTCTTACCTGTGAAATTAAATTCTTTGCCAAGTCCATCTGTTTTTGCCGCTGGATGTTTTCCGATGTTGCTTCGGCATAACGTTTTGTCAGATTTCTTTCCTGTAACAAAAAGTTTTTCAATAAAAAAACTTATTTTAATAAAAAAAACAACTAAACTTTGTGGTAAAACCATATGTACCTCTTTGTTGGCAGCGTCACAGAGTGTGAGCATTTGGGTCTTCTTTGGAACGGTTGCGCCAGCTTGTTCAAGTGTACCGTTGTATTTGTCAACATCAGCCTCATACTCCTACAAAGGCAAAAAAGGTTAACATTTTAATTTATTAATTTCTTAGCATATCAAATTATTAATAACGTAAGCACTGTATTTTCTGTTTTGTACTTACATTGAGTAGAGTCTGCAGGTCTAGAGAGAGGTCAGCCACTCTTTCCATGTCCTCTTCCTTCCGCTTCAGGTCATCCACCACTCGCTACAACATAAATCACAAATTCAGTTCAATTCTTTTTATACAGCACCGAGTCTCATCACATTGTCCTACTGGCCTGTCTGAAAAGTTGCCTAAAAGATCTCAGAAAGGAACCAATCATGTCCCAGTCTAGAGACAATCAAAATGAAAAAACTGAGTCACTAACATTGATCAGTCTGGAAAGAGTTACAATGACATTTCTAGGAATTTGGAACAAAAGTGAATCACCATCAGAGCCTTTGTTTACAAACAAAGAAAACCTGGACACTCGTGAAGGTTCCCAGGAGCGGCCATCTTACCAGTTCTGGGAGGGGTAAGATGGTCGCTCCCAGGAATTACCCTAAAAATACATCAGTGACTCAAACAGGAGGTCAGAACAACAATGAAGAAGAGAACAATGATCAAAACCTTAAAGACAAATCCAGCTCTTTTGGCTCAGACACAGGAGAATAATTGGAGATGTGGATGTTTAATCACCTTATTTCTCTGATGTGTGTATTAAGACAACTAAACAGAGTTGGCCAAAATTAGACTGTTAGATTTAGGAGGCAATAGTTTTGGACATTGTTTTACCCTTAACAAATTAAATTATCACTTGAAACTGATTTTTTTAATTATTATTTATTTTTGGAAAGATAATAAGCGTTGTATTTACTTTCAGATAAACAAAAAGAAAGCATGACCAGGTAGCTCACTCTGCTCTTGCTACTATTACCACCATACTTTTGCATGGTTCACATCTTGCCTCACCTTTTGGGAGCTCTGCTTGGCAGTGAGCTGGGACAGATCATCGCTGGAGTTTGTCTGATTTGTCGGCAGGTTGTCCAGGAAGGAGTTGAGGGATTGGCATGTGTTCTGGAAGTCCTTGTGCTTAACTGAAGCTTCTTGTAGCACATTTTCCCTAAGAAAACACCCACAAGTTGTGTTAACTTGTGTGGAGTCTTTTTGTTATCTCAGGCTGTATGTTTATATTAAAGTCATTTCCGTACCTTTCCTTCAGCTGGTTGGTGACATTTGTGTAGCGACTCTGCAGCTGTTTGACGTCGTTCCTCTGGCGCAGGATGTCAGGGCAGTACTCCTGGTGGTTTTTCTGCAGGGAGCTGCACAACCTCTCAGTCGCCTCCAAATCCCGATTCAGCTTAATCATGTCATCCTGGGCAGCTACCACAGACCGCCGCTGGCGCTGAGCACAACAAAGATGGCACTCCAGTTAAAATATTTCTCAGGATAAAGATTTGTACCTCTCAACACATGTTTGCGTGATTTTACTCACCTGAATGTCCTCAGCTCTGGTTTGAATTGCATTTGGTATGTCAGGAATTGGACCATCTGCACTCAGGTTTCTCTCGAATCCAGACACAAGGCCGTCGACCTTCTGTATTTGATTCTCCAGGTTGAGAGACGCATTTGCTCTAAGGCAACAAATCAGAACATAAACATGGGAATCAAATGGATTTTGTTACATAAAAGCTGTCAAATTTAGCACCACCTCGCACAAATTTAAGTTTTTTAATTCATGTGATAATCACAGATGAGATTGTTTCAATGCAGTTATAATGAAGTAAAACTTTTGTGAAGGATCATCATAGTTTTAAATACCAGAGTTATACGTTCAAATATCCAAAACAACTGATAAATTGTGTCTAAGCTGCAGATGTAACCTATTAATTAGCACTTATAGCAGTTTGAGTCTCTTCAAACTACTAGCAGATAGCTCTGTGAAGCCAGCATGTTCCTTTGGTAACAATAAGAGAGACTTTGGAGAAATTCAACGTTTGTTGCTGCTGTTAGCATCACAACCACTCTCACCTCTTGTGGGGCATCATTCCCATATTCTACATATTCCAACTTACTTATTTTACAAATTATTTGAATTTTGAACTTTATATCAAATATCATTTCTCAATCGTAACGTTATTGGTCATACGTTCACTAATAGCTACCTTATCATAGCTAATATTAACTTAAAAACAAATTAAGATGTAATTTGGTTATTTATATCTGTGTGTAGATTAATTAGGGTTTAGTTTACTAAGAGTTAAGTAGTGTAAATCACTGAAAAATAAAATGTTACTATCTAATTTCTTGTTCCAACAGTTTTTATGAAAATAATTACAGAAATGAGTTTCTAAACTCTAAGCAACAGGATGAAACCTGAACCCAGCATGGCGGTGTGATCTTCTCCATCAATTTAGATCTTCTCTAACTTTTTTAAAATTCTGTTTCTATGGATATGAATCACATCTGCTTGTCTTATGAGGTGTTTGTTTTTGAATTGCTCCTGCTCCAATAAGCTAAATTGGATTTATTGAATGTACTTTTTGTGCAAATGTTTCCTTGTCTTAATAAAAGACTTACTTCTTATTGTAGAGATCCGCCAGGCTGGCCAGGTTGTCGTACTTGTCATTGGCGGCGCTGAGTTTCTGCGGGAGTCCAGAAGACGTGCCGTTGGGATCTTTGGACAGCAAAGGCTGCAGGTTGGCCTGGGCTGTCTGTTTCTGCTGCTCCAGAGCGTTCAGCGTCTTGGCAGCTTGCTGTAGAGAGCAGTTAGTTTTTAACATAAATTAATGACAGATCACATATCAGATCATCTCATCTATAGAACTGTAAATTCTACAAACACTTTACAAAGAAAACAGATGTAGTTTATTGGGTGTAAATGAACGCCGTCATGATCTGCAGGTGTTTGGAGCTGTAGCTTAATCTGTGTTTTTGGTTTTCATATATATATATTTTTATATTTACCCAAATCTGGTCTTAGTTGCTTCCTCTTTGTGTTTACTTCTTGGATTATTAATATTAGTTAATTTCTTTTTTTTTTATGTTTACTTTTTAAGTTAGTTTCAGAGTTTTCTCTCTTTCCCTCACCGTTTTTTTTTATTTCTCCCTTCCTCTGTATCCTTCCCATTGCAGCTGTTTTAATCTCCTCTTTTCCTCTGCCTGCCTTCTTCCTCCTGCTGCAACTACTCACCTGTGATTAGCTCTTCAGGTTTATTTGCATATTCTCCAGTTTAGTTACTAAATGCACTTAAATTAATTTGTCATGTTGCTATGTTCCCAAGTGGTTCTACTCCAATAATTTCCCAATTCTGGGATGAATAAAGTACATCTTATCTTATTTTATCATGCCCTGTGTACCTCCAGTGAATATTTCTTTAACAAAATCCTTTAAACATGACATGAATCTATATCATTTTCTATTTGACTCTATTTTAAGTGTTAGAATCAATAAAAACACAATTATAATAGTGTGAATTATGATTTTTTTTTTTCTCCCTTGCTTTTATTTTAAACCTCCAAAAAGGAAAAGAGAAACCATTGAGTGAAAGCTCTAATGAAACCAGTGTCCAGGACTTCATTCCCTCTGAAACCATCGGTGTTTGTGTCGACTCACCTCCTGCTCTCTCAGCTTCTTGGCCAGATCTCCGGTCGGGTCGGTGCAGCTCACCGGGGTTCGCAGGCGGCTCAGCAGGCCCTGCTCCGTGTCGGCCAGGTCGGAGTCCAGCTGGTTCAGCTGCTGAGCCACAGCTGCCAGTTTGGGGTCTTGAGGAGCTGAAGAAACTGGAACTGAGTGAAGAAACGGTAAAATTATCCTCTGATCGATCTGATTTCAGTGGAAACTGAGGCGTTGTTCACAGATTAAACATCTGAATCATGATGGTAAGAAGTGAAAGACAAACACCTGACTGTAGAGCTTGAGAGATTTCTGGTTTATTATTCTTCAGGGACGCTGCCAGAGCTGCTCTCCTTCTCTTGGTTTCTTCAAGCTCCTTGCCCAAACTGATGAGACAAGAGCAAAGTGGAGACGATGAGTCATATTTACCCTTTCACTCTCTTGTGACCTATTACTGAACAAGATAGGATAGATCTATGTACTACACAAAGCATGTTCATTACATTTTTTGGACATAATCATTCTTAGATGATGAGATTTTAGTCTGCTCAGTTCTGGCTGTCACTTTAAATCCTAATAAGCTGCTGCTGCTGTCCGCACCCCTAATTCAACGCTTACACTTACGTGTGAAAATGGCTTCAAATAGATGTACAACTGTGCATCTTTGAAAAAGAGAAGTGGAGCCTTCTGCACAACCAACAAGAATGCATCAAGTGGTTTTTGAATGGCAAGTCAACAACAAAACACTTGTCTTTTCCAGAAGCCATTGTACAGCGCATACAGCGATAAAACCAGCTGGCCAAACATGGTGGAGCTATGCTTGGGTTGCTAGGTAGCAGCGCAGTGCCCATCGATTGTGACTCAACATTCAGAAGGTTTTTGAAACAGCTCGTTTTCCAGACGCCAAGAACCATCAACCTATCGCCACAAAATGGCTGGTTGGGTTTTACAAGCAGTTGAAACCCAAAAGGAAGCATAAACATTCAAAAAGTGAATTTTGCCAAGCAGATCCCCTTTAAATATAGCGCAGCTCTCTGTTACTTACAGGTCAACAAAATAAATGGCATCTGGGTTGGGAGGTGGGATAATGAAGCAAACTCCAGGGAAGGTTTTAGTTGTTCCATCAGAAGAAATAACTTTCCAGTTGTTGTTGTCGGAGAAGGATTTCAGGGTGAATTTTTCCCCTCTTGAAATAGAGCCCTACACAGCGATAATAATAGAAACGCAATGTAAAACACAGCTCATGAATTGTAAAGATGTTTTTAATCCACCGTTTAGAAACTACTGAGGTATTTGACGGCGGTCAGGGCTGCACCTCGTCAGTCTCCCAGTCGCACAGGGACACCACTGTGATGGGTTTGTTGGTGGGAGTGCGGCGCAGCTTCAGAGGAGGAACAGTTGTACTCTTTCGCCTCAGGTCGGCCAGCTGCTGCTCCGCGGTGTGGACAGTATTTTCCTCCAACTGGAGAGAAACAAAGCCGCATGAAAATCCAGAGGAAGAATGTCCTAACCCAATCCTAATCTGTCACGTCTGAGGTGGTCCTGTCATACGGCAGTAAGCTTGTGAGACAGATGTACGTCATTTACTTGTGTTCATTTTTAAGCCTAATGCCAGCCTTCTCTTTGAGTGCCTTCACATTCCTTCATTCACAAAATGCATTGTTCATTTTAGCTCAAATTTCTAATGAAGAAATCTCTAGAAAAGCTAGAAAAGCCAAAGTATGTGCATCCCTGTTTGTGTAATAATTTAGGATTCCCAGGCATCCAGGATAGGGCTGAAACGGTTAATCGGAAACTAAACAAAAACACTTGGTAAGGCTTTGTGTTTTTGCAGTGGTTAGGAAGTAAATGAATGCACAGCAGTATAAAGTATTTGCACATGTAAATTCACAATGACAAAGACAATTTGATATTTGACGTCAATGTTGGTGGCAGGTTTGCGGGACAAACTAGGACAAGCAAATCCAAAACCACTGTAGTCTCAGTAAGTCTCAAACCTCTTTCTTCTCTCATTGTCTCACCTGAAGCTGCAGCAGCGACTCGATGTTGCTCTTCGTCTTTAGAGACTCTGGACTCGTGGTGCTACTGAGTTGACTCAACGTCTCTGACATCTTCTGAGTGTCATTTTCGTACTGGAAAATGGACACTCACTTGTTATCACTTATAAAAACATGCTGGAAAATTAGAACATCTGTCCACATGTACACTGCAAAACATTTCAGCCACATTTAGTTGTGTCTACTGTCTTCTATTCTTTAAGTCAAATCAATTACTGAGTTTTAGATTTTGAACCTAAATGTGAGCTGGTGAAAACTTAGTAAATTGTGTTAAACTTTTATTAATTTTGTCAAACTTTCAAGAGTTGAATAAACTAGAGTTTTTAGCAAAGCATTTAAAAAAACTGAAAGAAGAAACAGACAGGAGTGGGAGCCATTTCCCAGAATGCTTAGCAGCATGTTTCTGTAAATGTTTATTTTAAAGGATAATGTCCTGTTCACACTGAATATTTCTGAGCTGAATTCATTGTTAAGTTTAATAAAATTCATTATCAGATCAGAAATTTTGTTCATGCAATTTGGAATTAATTTAAATTGTTCTAAAGTAAAATAAGTAGATATTTTAACTTGATATTGTGAGTAAAATAATAGAGAAATGTGGCTCTTTAACCAGGTGAGGATAGTTTATTTTCTTGCATATTGTGAAATAATTATTTGGTTTAAATTGCAGCATTAAGTTAAAACTCACAATTCAAGATTAATGAAGTTAAAAAACAATGTTTAAACAACTTGTCTCTTGTTGTTAAATCAACTTCATGAACTTTAATTTCTGAGTTAAAACCAATAAAAATTTCTTGTCGACTTAAATTGCATTTTCCAGGCAGCAGGTGGACTTTTGTTTTCAAGTTAAACCACCTTCAAATGTTTTACAGTGTAGCATGCCCTCCAATATTGTGCTTTTGCAAACTCTCCCTACCTTATTGAATTCCTGTATATTTTGCAGATGTACTTCTTGACATATGCAGAGATTCAGGAACTTCTGCCACTCGATTTTCACAGCTCTGCTATGGGCCTTAAAGTAAAGAATGTATTTGGATTTAATTTTCAGTCAACTTAAAAGGTTTAATTTAGATAAAATCTTTGGTTTCAATACCTCTATTAGGTGGCTGGCTGGGTGTTTCAGGGAAATGTACGTTTCACCCTCATCCTCGAGTCTGTTCACTTTGCCCTCGTGATCCAAAAGCTCTTTGTTCTTGAAGTTCTGATTGAAAGAATATTACAAGTTGTTCTCAACATGCAATGCCTTGAAATTAGGATGGTTGTTTGATTTATATGCTACCAAATTAGGCAGCCAGGTACGAAGAGGATTAGGGCCACTGGAAAAAAAATAATTAAACAGTTCTGACTTTCATCTCAGAATTCTGAGGAAAAAAAGTAAGAATTCTGACCTTAAACTCAAAAATAATAATTCTGACTTTAATCTCAGAATTCTGACTTTAATCTCAAAAATAATAATTCTGACTTTAATCTCAGAGTTCCTAGATTAAAGTCAGAATTCTGAGATTAAAGTCAGAATATTTCTTTTTCCCCAGTGGTCCTAATGCCCTAATCCTCTGCTTTAGCCAGGAACTTACACAACAAGCAAAAAGTCTAAAATTACTACAAGTTTCTGTGCAGTTCAGCAGCAGACAGACTATTGACCCTTTGCAACTACATCACTAAATAATTTGAGAAGCCATGGGACGTCGGAAGTGAGGGACGGGAGCATTGAACAGAGCGACTAAAACTGTTTTCGAAAGTTGTTTTTCCCGTTTATTCATGGCTTCCATAATTAGCTCGAGTCGAGCTAATTAGACTGTGAACGTAACACCTGGTTGGGGCTCATAGACGGCGGTATTTATAAAAGTTGGAAACAGACCCATACTTTCCCCCCTCCTGACGTAAAGATCAAATTACCAACCTTGCCTGAAACCACACCACATGATTTATGTGTGTCATAAACATGTTATAAACGGTGTTTCACCGGAGCAGCATTAAAAACGCACAAAAGACAAGATGCTAACCAGTTTTTCCGAACATGCTAGGCTACATGACGGTGGGGCACCGTTTCCATGGTTACTAACGGTTAGACGCTCACCTTCTCCACAATGCGATAATTGCTATATTTCCATACTTACTTATAAAGTATATGAACATTAATCTTCTTATCTTGTATAAAGTGTTCACTGCAAATCAGAGATTACACCGAGGGCTGGCAGTCGTTGTGCTGCTATCCATCGCCGCTGTATCTTTCCTCATTAATAGTTATAAAATAAAATAAGTTTGGTTTGCATCCTTTTCTGTTTGTACAGTCGGTCACGCAGCACCATTTTTAAATGAAATCAACTATATAAAAAGCAATATTAAGTTACAGACGTCTGTTTTTAGACCAGCTTTAAAGGAGCGTATTAGTTTTGACGTCTGTCATGGCGGAGTGGGCGGAGTTCTGGAGAGCGTGACGTCACGTGCAAAGGGTCAATACATGTTCAAAAACCCATTTTGTTCCCTTTAACTCAGTCCTGACCTCATACTGCAGGCGAACACTAGTAGGGTCCACCATTTGATCGCTCCAGTCCTGCTTCTTGATCTTTTCCTGCTCTTCTCCCAGGAAGGTCATCTCCTTGTTGCAGTCCCTCATGTGCTGGTAGAGGCTGGTCAGATACTGGCTGCGTAACTTGGATTTTTCCTGGAGGAAAACGGCTTCATTTAAATACTCTCCTTTGACTTAAATAAACATTAATCCTAATCTAAACAATACAGCTATACAGTGAATCTCTTAAGCCGTAAACACTGCTCTAAGTTTTAATGCGATGGCTAAAATAAGCTCAAAACGTTATGCTCGTTTAATTTCAGAAATATCCAGCCCAATTCAGTCAGAAAAATAACTTCAATAAATAAAAGTAAAATTAGAAAGCTTCTATAACCTGACTGCAAAAGTGTGCAGACTCTTAAACTAATCAAACATGTCCTGTCGCTTTTAAAGTTTTCTATGGTATAAGTGGAACCTCTACTTTTTCATCAATATTAAGGAACTACTGTCTGAAAACAAGCTATTTATTTCAGGTATGCTAAGATATTTGCACTAAAAACTACACCAAAACTAATTGACATAAATTTGTGTTTTTGCAGTTTAAACAGAAAGCAACACTTTTGCTTATTTTTAACCTGAATGTGTTTGGTTTTAAAACAATCAACTCACCAGCATAGTGTTATATTGCCTTTTCAGTGGCGCGAGTTTCTCCTGAAAGACAAGGCAGCAACATGCTGGGTAAACTATCCGTCTCAAAAGTTCAGTAAGACGGAGGAAAATGGAAATGCTTCCTGACGGTGTGTTTTGGTGCGCACCTTGCTGCCAGCAGAGCTGACGCAGAGCTGTGAGTTGTAAGCCTCCAGCTCTTTATGCAAGATGTTCTGAGCAGCGATCTGCTTCTCCAGGTCCGCCAGCGTTGGGCCATACTCCTCTGAGCTCAGCGCTCTCTGACAGCATAAGCAGCACAAGAGCTCAGTTAATTAATAAATGCTTATTTTAAGCAACACCATTAAACAGAAATGGATGTTTCATTTGATGTTGGAGGAAGTGGTCAGAACTTACTTCCTTCTGGGCGAAAACAGGCTCCCAGTTAATTATGGGCATCCGAGACACGTCTTCAATTTGCTCATAGAGCTCTACATATTTAGCTGTGACTGCTGACCATCGCTTGTGTAGTTCGTGAATGCTGGAAGGAAAAACAAGGACAAAAAGAAATGTTAAAACAAACAAGCAAAATAGACTGCAAAAACAAAATGTCTTAAGTACTTTTGGTCTGATTTCAAGAGCAAATATCTTAGTAAAATAAAACCAACTTACTAGTGACTTTCAGAAAGAAATTTTCTTAAAAATTTCTTGCTAGTTACTAGAAACTTACTAGTGGTCAGAAATGAGTTCTGACCACTAGTAACTTTTACTTTTCTAGTAACTAAAAGGTTGTTTTAAGACAATAATTCCACTTCCAAATTATTTTACTTTTAACAAGGAAAATGTTTTATTTTAAGTGGAACTAGCACCTGTTAGTCAATATTTAAGAATTATATAGAAATATAGGAATTATACTTAAAATAAGCTGCATATATTTTGCTGAAAAATTACTGCAGTTTAATTTTCTTATTTAAAGCGCACTAAAATATTTGCACTGGAAATTAGACCAATAATACTTAGTAACGTTTTGTATTTTTGCAGTAAACTGATTTCTGTCTTCTTATCAAACAAATTTTCAACAAATTTTCTTTGTTTATTTCTCATGCACTCACTCTTTCTCAACATCTGCAATGGGAGGGTAGTTCATGTCCCTGAGTTTGCCAATGTCCAGGAAGAGATTCTCTAGCCGTCCCTCTGCAATGCCCAATATATAATTGATCTCAGCCTGGTGCTCAAATTCTTTCTCTTTCTTGTCATTTTCAATATCCTGGTGAATAAAAATAACAACAATAAAAAAAAACAGAAACAGCTTGTAAAAGATGAAAAGTTATAATTGCACAGCTTTATGTTGAAGCAGGTTTCCCTTCTCACCACTTTCAGCAGTTTTTCAGCCTGGAGGACATGTTCCACCACTTTGTCAGAGTCAATCTGCATACTTGTAACCAGCTTATTTGCATTGATGGACTGAGACCTGCAGACAAAAAGAGTCCAGTTAAACTACAAACACTCAAATTACATCAACAGTCACTGATTAAACAGAATGTTATAAATATGCTACATATTTTCATCTGGTTTGTTCCTGTCTTTGCAATGTAACACAGTGCATTCAAATGAACAGCATCATTTTATAGAGAAAATAATTGTGAATTTCTTTGATAAAAGATGGTTTTTATCTGAAAGCATTTGTTATAAAAAAACTTCAGGGAAATAAATTGGACTTTTAAGAAATCACAAAATATCCTACAGACCATGTAGTTAAATCTTGATCAGTCACCCAAACTCAGACAGAATATTTAAAAGTTTCATAAATGTCTTTGCTCAGACTGTAAATATTTTGGATAATTGATCACTTACAGTCTGAACTAAAGTAGTTTATAAAAAGAAAAGACAGATCAAGAAAAATGTACATAAAATTACAAAACTACCATATTGGTAATGACCAACTAGCATTAAAAGTAATTTGAATACCAACTTTCTAATGATTTACTGAAAAGATAGTACATAAAAACTTAAACAATGTTTCCAGAAAAGCAGAGGAAAAATCAAATGGTGAGCAGAATCTGCTGATTTTTAACTTGATTTGTAGTAGCCGGCTAAAAAGGCTAGCAGGTCATTTTACAACACTGTTTGGTGTGGATGCTATAACTGAGGGAGAAAAACTACACCCTCATAGTTAACATATAATTTACAGGAACTGCTGTTAGTGAAGCTATCTACGCTAATGGCTAATTTATGTTAGTTAAGGCAATTTAAAATGTGAACTTAGCAATCATTAAAACTTCAGACAAGCCTTTTTACAGCAAACTCACTGAAACACAATCTGTTGCAACAAGCAATAAATCAATTAATTGATCGCATAATAAATTAAAACAAGCTCAATAATTTCCATGTGTATAAGGTATTGTTTTTCTCAAACTGGATGACAAAAGTGTTCAGTCTGGTGTTTTAGTCCTTTTTTTTTAAAGCACAATTTTGTTTACAGAGACTTCATAACTCATTTTATTTGTTGTTTTATTTATTTATTTTGTGTATTTAGGATGTCTTTCAGTTGCGTTGTTAAATGTTCGTTTGAATTTTAAGCTTATTGACTTTTGAGAATGTATTTGTGCATTATTACCTGAAAATTGCCGTGAAACAACAATATTATAATGATTTCTAACTTCTGGGACTATTTAACACCCAGTAAAATGTATTATGGCAATTCCTCTTTTAGAAATAATTTGTATAAAATAATTGATGAATCATTCGAAATGTTCAAATTTGAAAAACTCAGATTCAAACAATGGAAAAATGACAACATTCCATAAAGCTTGAAGAAGGAGGAGTTTAAATATTTATTTGTCACTGTGGTCAACAGTGGACAAAATATCAACAGAACACGGCGCCCTAATGTAACCATGGCAACAGAAACCACAGCAACCGGTTTCAGGAAGAAGAAAAACGGGTTTCTTCCGTTTCGAGGTTAATTCCTGTCGTTTCTTCCGGTTCAGGAGCGAGGCGCTCCCTCTGCGGGCCGGTACCGGTTCCGCTCACTCAGCAGGAAAATCCGGTATGAGAACAACGTCAGTGCTGCGCTTCCGTCTCTTCCCACCGAGCCGATTTTCTTAAGATTTCAGTACAACAAAGTAAGAAGAATGTGTTTGTGGTTTTCACAGTTTGGAAGAAATGCTGGATAACGAACAGTTTTTTTTATGTTACAAATCTGCTCTTAATTCTTAATTTTACCTTAGTTTGAATCTGCATTTTTCTAAATGTCCCCATTGTGGGATGACACAGAATATCACTATTATATTTTATTCTTTAGTAACAAAGCGCAAAAGTCAGATTTTACTCTGTTGTTCTTATGGGAGGCGTCTGACAGATGATGTAAATCAAATTTTCATTTCTATCTTATCTTTTGACTGAAATGCTCTCACTCCTTTGTGCTTTTGCTTAAGTTTAATTTTTAATTTTCTTCTTTTGTGCATCTTCATGTTCAAGTTCATAATAAATGATGTGGAACAAATTCACATCATTTATTGAATTTGTTCAATAAATAGCTTCATGTGTCTAAAATAATTAGACACATGAAGCCAATTAGGATTATCTATTAGGTGAAAAAATAGAACTATTTTGTGTAATTTTATGAAAGTATATCTTTAAGGAGGGGCAGCTGTTTGGCCGCATGGTGGATGAGGGGCACAGTGACAGTTCACACCGTCAGACATCGCTGCAGAAACACAGTCCACCTAAGGGTTCTTCCTGTGTTCACACAGCGTGTGTTTTCCTCAAATAAGGGTGAAAACTTGGTCTTTTTCAGGATCCCCTATGATTTCAGTGCAAACAATTTAAAACACAACGGATTACAGTGAGGTCTCTGTTAAGCTGCTTACACATAATTTCCCATGTTGCCATGTTTGTTAGTGTAGAGAAAAATGTGTTTTGTGTGTCTACATGTGTGTAAATTATCATTGTGTGTCACTTTTGACACGTCCCTATTCCTGCTCTCCTGTTCACTAATTCAACTTTGTCTTCCCCTTTCATAAACAAAACTGCATATTTGAAAACAATTTTCATTTCCTATCAGCTTTTTATTATATATATTTATATTTTAAATGTCTCTAATTTCTTGTTTTTGTGCACAAACCTGGTGAATATGTATATTGGGATCAGATGTGTGTAATTAGGAAGTTACATGTGATAATACTCTATCTCTTTTCTTCTTTTAGACAAATTAATCAGAAAATAAACCATGACATCTATTTTACTTTTATTTTCAAGCAGCCAGCATGCAGAGGTGAGCATCCAGTTAGCGTAACTTAAGATTCAGTGATATTTTTATTGGGTTGTTGTTGTGTTTTCCAATGGCATCATATCTTCCTACACAATGCAAAAACATAAAATCTTACCAAGTATTTTTGGTCTAGTTTTAAGGACAAATATCCTAGTACACATAAAATACGACAAAACTAACGTACAAGTAATTTTACGGCAAGATAAACAAGCTTGTTTTAAGTATTCCTTAATATTTATGAAAAAGTACTACAGATTAATTCAGGTTTAGCATGGGGAAATGCCTTGTTATAAATTAAATAATCTACAGTGGAACTAGTACTTTTTAAAAGGAATTATGTACTTAAAACGAGCTACTAGAAAATTTATTTAGTTTTATTTCAAGTTTACTAAGATATTTGCACTAGAAACTAGACAAAAATACCTGGTAAGATTTGTGGAAGATAAGCAACGGTGTGACGTCCGTGTAAGGAGACAAGCTGTTCTCAGTTGTTTGATTTAAATCCATGATTAATTAAAGATGATTTAAAAAAAACATAAGATTTAGTTGTAGCATTCATGAATGGATGTGGGTGGGAAGTTAAAGTGCCTGAAAGTAGGAGAACAAGACGAGCCGCATAACTGAGAAGGGCTGGCCTGCATTTCTTTAGCCGTAGTAGTTGTGAGGTTAGAAAATCTGGCAGAGCAAACACTCCCTGGTTGGGTTTGGCTCACTTTCCCCTCCTCACTCACAAGGGAAGATCCTTCAATGAATCGCTACAAAAAAGTTGGTGTTTTAATTTATTTAATGTCAAAGTGACGCTTGTAGATTGTAGAAATATTTGATTTAGCTAAATCATGTCGTCAATGGGGACTGTGATGCAACAGAGAGATAAAACACACACATACGCACACACACACACACACACGCACACACACACACACACACATACACACACTGGTGTGTTTCCATCACATCTGAGAGCTGATGTGCAGAGATATGCTACACTGCAAAAACACAAAATTTTACCAAGTATTTTTGTTGAGTTTGAAGTAATTGCACTTAAAATAAGAGAAAAATAAAATACATTTGACTTTTAAGCAACATATGCTAGCCTGTTTTAAGCCATGAATTATTAAATAATGATGAAAAAGTACCAGAACTAGTTAGCTGAACTTGTAACATGAATTAGTGGAACTGGCACTTTTTCATCAATATTGAGGAATTATTTACTTAAAACAAGCTTCTAAATCAAGCAGAAAAGTTACCTGTAAGTTAGTTTTGTCTCGTCTTAAGTGCAATAAGATATTTGCATTACAAACTAAACAAAAATACTCTGTAAGATTTTGTGTTTTTGTATTTTGGATGTCCTTGAACCAGAACAATTTTGCTTCAGTTTGTGTGAAAACATCACTACTGACTGATTAAAGTTTAATCCATCGTTATGATCCTGATGAATAACACAGACAGAACTAGAATATGCAAAATACCAATATATGGTTAAACATCAGTGTGAAATCCACAGATTCACCTGCTTGTATAGGCACAGAAATATTAACTGTGTTATTAAAGGATAAAATGTTATTTTTAATGATAAGGATAGAAGTTTAGTGGCTGAAGAGCGATCATTAAATGATAAAGAAGTGATTAATTATAGAAACCACAGCCAACGGCTGGAGAACCAACACCCACTAAGGAGAAAGGAAAGCAGCCCAGCCCTGTTCACATCACAGCAGGTTGAAACCTTTGTGAGGTTGGAAAGCAGAATAAAAATAATAAAATATGAACATTTTGTTTCCATCAGGAAACACGCCTCGCACTGTTCACACGAAAAGACAATCAGTGCCAGCCACTCTCAGTAAGGTGCAGGGACATTTACACTTTACTGCTCAGTTTTTCTTTCTCTAATTAATATGTTCAGTGTTTGAAACACAACTGCTGACATATTTAAATGTCAGATTAGATACAGAAAGCTTCAAGTAAACGATTGTTTTGTTTAGCCTTTCTGAGCCCCATCCCACAAGAAGCTGCAGAAGACATTCCTTAAGTGTCCATAAGGACAGAAGATGAAATATGCACACATTTCTGTGTTCATCAGTTATTATCCAGAGGAAAAACTCACCTGCTCATCTTGCTGGAGCTCTTCGTGTCCTTTGACTTAAACATCTTGGACATCTTGGAGGTGGAGAGGAAGTGTCTCCCTCTCAGTCGTACTCCTTCTTCACTGCTGTCTTCCTCACTCTGCGTCTCTCCTCTTCCTCTGGTCCTCCTCAAACAGACACAGCGGCAGTGTGACACACCAGTCCATATTTGGGGCTCAACGCCACTGGCTCCTCCCAGGCAGGGTAACAGGTGAGCCGCCGCCCAGGTATCAGCCCTGTGCAGGAGGACCAGACCGACCTGTTCTTCACTCTCCTCCTCCATGGTTCCTTTTCTCTGAGGTTCTTCAGTCCATCAGATCTTAGATAGAAAATGCAGATCATTAATCCTTCTAAGGCCTGATAACATAAATAATCAGAAAATTCAGATTTTTCTTTTAAATTAACTCACCTTGCTTTTTAAATGAGTTTGTATCGCAATTAATACATCAGACTTTTATGTTTGTTGTCGTAACAATGTTCATTGGATCATCATCACCAAAGATATCTGTTTGATGATAACTATTATATATGTAAATCCGGATTTTTTATATATATATATATATATATATATATATATATATATATACACACACACATTATTTTATGTATATATACAGTTACAATATATAAATATACAATATATATTTGTGCAAATACAAAATGTATATACATATATATGCCACATATTTACTCAATGCAGCGTATTTTTGATAAAAATAACTTACTAGGTCAATAATCGTATCACAGATGATACATTTGTCATTAAAGGGTTAATGTAGGAAACCTGGATTTTGCAGAAGTTAAGAAACATCTATTTTTTTTGCAAGAACAAAACAAAATCAGGAGTCAGAGTGAATAATTCTGAGTTAGGCTCATGAATGGGCAACATGCTGAGCTAACGTTTGATATAAATAAGATTTACTGTAAATAATATTCTGAAACATCCCACTTCTCACCCAATAACCATATGGATGGATCAGCTGAAATTTCATTTAATTTAACGGCTCTTTAATTATTAATAATGTGTGGGTTTTATACAGCACCTTCTAAAAATATTTGTCGTTTTACAACCATTTTGTGGTCGACCAAAACAAGTTATTGATAATTGTGAAGTGGAAAGAGAAAAAAAACTTTGTTTTCAAAATCCACAAACTTTGGCATTCTCTTGTAATCTGATAACCCCAAGAAAATCTGGCCTTCACAAGTCCCTGAAAACAGGATGTAAATTTAACCTGCGTGTAATTTAACCTCAGTATAAATGAAGACATTCTGTTTCTGGCCTCAGGGGTTTGATACAGAACATTAGTCACAAGTAATTTAGAGGAAATTTGAAAGAAGTTGTTCTTGTCAGATAAGAAATGGTGTGTTCAGGTTGTTTAGCAAAAGAAAAAATAAGAGGAGTAAATCGCTGCCTCCTAATCTGGTAGAGACAAATCCTAAAAGATCTGCAGCTGAGATTAAAGCAAAAAGTAACCAAGACACTGAGATATCCTCTCAGGGGTGGGGAGCTTCGTGCCGAATGCTGAACATGCATGCCACACTTTTAAGATTCTGAAAACGATAGCGTTTTAAAATAACATGCTACTTTTTACACTTTTGTTAAATTAATTACAGCGATCAAAGTCTGTGTTTGTTCAACTTTCTGACTATCACAGGAGTGAGATTTCATTCAGTAGCGACTCAAACACAACAGGTTATTTGTACTTTCCTTAAAAGAAACAATGCAATCACCCCCTACTGCACACTGCAAAAACACAAAATCTTACCAAATAATTTTGAAATAAGGAAATCAGAAAATAAACCATTTTACTTTCAAGCGGCCAGCATGCTGATGTGAGCATCTAAGTAATGCAGCTTAAGATTCAGAGAGCCAATAAAATTGTAATCAAGTAAGAACAGAACTGCTTATACTTATTTTTACCCAAGAAAACAAAAAGGTGTTTGGGGAAAAGTCTACTCAAAAACTGAGTAACTGATCAAATTATCAACCATTTAATATTTAAAATTACATAGTCAGACAGACCAAAGTATAAAGTTAAGTGGAAATTTTGGTATTTTAAGGACAAAAATTACAATAACTCATATAAGTAACAAAAAATAATAAAATTCAAATCAGTTATTTCAACATGAAACTTTAACAGAAACTACAGGTGTGTGTCTGTGTCCGGTGAACTTTTGGTTAAAACGTGCTTGTTTATCAGTCAGGGGGGAGAGAAAACAGAAATTTTACTCAAGTAACAGTAGAAATACTTCAACATATTTTCACTCAAGTGAAAGTAAAAAGTAGCCGTCCAACAAATGACTCAAGTAAGAGCAAAAAAAGTATTTTTTTAAAAAATTACATAAGTAGACGAACCAAAAGATAAAGTTCGTCTGACATAAAATGTCAGAATTGATATCAATATCAATTCAAGTAACGAAAAATAAAAAATTCAGGCAAAAATTTTGCCAAATCAGTTTCTTTCAATAAACTGTCAATTAACAAAAACTGCAGGTGTGTCTGGTAAATTTTTGGTTAACATATTTCTTGGTTTTCATTGAAAGGGTAGAAAGTCCAGAAATTTTTACTCAAGTAATAGTAAAAATACTTCACAGTTACTCAAGTAAAAATAAAAAAAAATTTCACCCAAAAAATAGTTACTCAAGTGAATGAAATAGCGTAAATGTAACGAGTTACTCCCCGACTCTGCTGACACGCTGTGCGTACGGCCAGCAGACGGTCAGAGCTGTTACGTAATCCCGTTATCAGGAGGTTCGGGTCGCCCTGAGCGGACCGACGTTTCACACCTCCAGCTCAGACATGTCAGGCATCCAGGGCGTCTCTGCAGCCCTTCATCAGCAGAGGGTAACGCAGAGGAATGCAGACGGGCAGCTTCCTGCGCAGCGCGAACACACGCTGCTGACTGGTCCGGCCACACAGCCGGGCTCTCTGGGTGTGTTTACCTGTCTGGAAAAACATACTTTTAATGTTGCTAAGATACCACATGTTATACTGTGGCTACTCTGAAACACAATGGAGGAAGTGGTCAGAGGAACCACATGTGGATTTATGAAGGTTTTTCTGCAGGTTTCATCTCATTTATACCTGTGGAGATCATTTTATTTATTTTCTGGGGGGATTTTCTCCCATTACATATGCACTGTGAAGTTTCCTCACTTCAAAAAGAAGGCGTAGTTTTTGTCTAGTTTCTCTTAGTGCACTGAGCGCCTCCAGCCACAGACTGATAATACCAAAGAGCACCACAGGAAATAACTTCTGCCTGCAGCTGTTTGTTAATTATTTAACACTAGTAACTTGTCAACTAATGGGCAATTTCTCAGCAAAATATAGGACCTTATTTTTAGTCAATAATTCCTTTATTGACTAAAAGCACCAGTTTAACTGGCAAATTATTTCACTTTTAACTTGGTGAAATGTATTTTTATGAGGAAAATAATCTGCCAGTGAAACTAGTACTAAACAGTTTTAAGGAATTATTCACGTAAGCTCCTATGTCTTGCTGAAAAGTTATGTGTAAGTTAGCTTTGTGAGAGTCTGCCACTGGTTTTGTTTTATTTCTACTAGAAACTAGACCAAAAATACTCCAAGATTTAGTGTTTTGTACTGCGAGCCGCATTGAGTCATCATCTATTAATGTAAAAAACAGTGGAGGACGTTCCCAGGCGTGGCTGCACAAGCAAAATGATCCAAAAACACACTGATGATTCATCCAGGAGGAAACAACAGAATCAAAACCAACATCTGGAAATGCAGGCCTGACCTACTTCAGTTGGGGTCAGAGGTCACGATTCAAAACTAAGAAACAGAACAAAAATGGCCTCAATCATGTATTAATCTTGTTTGTGTAAATTATTTGTTTTTTTTAAACCCACGCTAATTTTGGTCTAGTTTTTAGTGCAAATGTCTTAGAACACTTGAAATAAAACAAAACTGACTTTTACTTTTCAGTAAGAAACAGGAACTTATTTTAAGTCAATAATTCCTTAATGCTGATGAAAAAGACATTTCTCCCACATTAAGAGTTACAATTTCTCGTTCCACTGGCTGATTATTTCACTTATAACTTGCACTTTTTCATCAATATTAAGGAATTATTGACTTTAAAGAGCTCCTATATCTTGCTGAAAAGTTACTTGTAATTTAGTTTTGTGCCAAGATTTTTTTTAAATAAAGGTTTTGTTGGCTCTAGTGGCCTTTATTTAAAAGTAGTTCGACAGGAAAGAGGGTAATACGTGGGTTGTGCTTTGCCCCTGCGCCACCACAGCACCCCTTGTGCCAAGATATTTGCAATAACAACCAAACCAAAATACTTGCTTTGGTTTGTAAAGGTTGCAAATATTAACTTCACTATACATGAAATGCATTCAGATAAAGGTTCATTTTTTATTTTAATAATTCTTCACTGTGGTTGACAGTTGTAAAATACACATGAGGATAACTCAGCCTGACTCTGTTGACTTAAAAAGACCAGAAGAAGAAAATCAGCGCAGAAATCACAGAGATGGTAAAGAATGAAACATGTCTGAAAACTCCCAACCCTGATTAGAAAGGAGTTAAAACAAAAACGAAACAAACGAGGGTGTGCCACTGCAAAATGGCTGACAGGTTCCCAGAGCTCAACTAGTGTCAAATGATAAAATCTGATCATTTCTGCAAAAAATAAAAAACATTTTCCAACAGGAACTGAAACAATGTGAATGAAAAGTGTCATTTATATAATCTCCTCAGAGATTTTTCACACATTTCTGTTATCAAATATGGCGGATCGAAGGAGCAGAAAGGGCAGCTGGGTGAATATTCTGGGTTTTGTTTCTAAGAGGAGTTTAAAGGTAACAGAGTTGAGCAATATTTTTTAACTGCAGGTACCAAATGTAAACCACACACACACACCCTGCTCAAGCATCCGCTCATCCTCACACTCCCTGCATCCCCACAGAGGTTCATACTGAGACACACCTTCCTTCACAAATGGACTATTAATGAATCAAACCATATAAAAGCCAAAGATACAACGCTGTGCAAAAGTCCTGAGTCATTTCTGAATTCTTTACATGCTGCTTTGATGAGACAGACTTTTATTTTTGTCTTCTCAAAGTTCCCTCAGGCTTGAAGTTTTGGACATTTTCTGCTTTTCTGTGTCAGTTCAATTCAGCCAATTCACAACACGTCATCTCAGTGAACTTTACAAATCCAATCACACATTTAATCCAATTGATCCCAGTTATCAAACAGTGGAGGTAATTATTTAAATTAGATTAAAATGATTTAATCCAGGGAAACCCAGCAGGTTGAATTCACTGCTTTGCCTCATTACCTGCGTTTCCATAACAAATGTGCGCAAAACCTCTTACACTCCTTTTTTCAAGTAATAATGACTAAAAAAAAAAAAAGAATCAGAAAACGGATTTTGGTGCCAATATATTTTATTTCTGAGCCTGGAGAGAAAATGAAAACATTCCCATCATTATTTTCAGATGTTTCAACAATCACTAAGACTCTTCACTGCAAAACCACAAAGTCTAACCAGGGATGTTGGTCCAGTTTCTGCTGCAAATATCTTATTACTCTAGAAATTAAACAAAACTAATCCAGAAGTAACTTTTCAGCAAGGTGTAGGAGCTCGTTTTAAGTCAATAACTCCTTAATTTTGATGACAAAGTACTAGATTATTTCCCTCGTCATGAGTGAATTTATCTGCCAATGGAAATAGCACTTTTTCTTCAATATTAAGGAATTGTTTACTTAAAACAAGCTCCTATTTTTTTTTTTTGCTGGAGTTACTTGTCAGTTTGTTTTTCTTATTTCAAGTGTAATAAGATATTTGTACTAGAAACTCGACAGAAAACACTTGGCAAGATTTGGTGTTTTTGCACCGTTAGACGCTACTGGAGACGAGTCCATCTTACTTCTTCAACTCAAACAATGAGAGAAGAACAAAAACATAAAAAAAAGACCAGCGACACAGATTCATGAGGGTCATTAAAAAACTCATCTGCGAAGTTTATCACAAGGAAATCAGGTCCAGAAAGGAGGAGAGGAAGTCAGCCGGTTCGGTTTAGAGGAAAAACTGCTCTTTACTACAAAACAATGGGTAGCAACAGATGTTGTAACAATGCTGAACTTCCAGACATGCTATTCATGTAGTAAAAACATTTATACTATGAGGCGTGGTGGTGTGATGATGGAAAGGCTGCTAAAACCTTCCGGATGGCTTAATGTCTGCTGAAGGCAGAAACAAAACTCCAGCAGGAGCGTCCAAGCTGAAAATATGATCAGGGCGATTCAGTCTCATCTGAAGTAAATTTATAACAATAATAAAACTTGGGAGTCCGCTGCATAAACCTAACTGGGCCTGAAAGGTTTGAATTACAACAATCTGGGAAAATATCCAAAGAAAATCAAAAAGCAAAGGTGAAATTTTCCTTTTAATATATGGTAGAAATAGTTTTTACTTAGTTTTATCGATTAGCTCTCATATCACCAATATGAACGAACTGAAGTATGGAAATCAGGAGAAAGTTAAAAACTGAAAACACCCGTTCATATTCAATAACTCAATACTGAACGTATTCATTAAATATCTCCACTATAGGGCTTATGGGAGATATCCGACTGGTTCTGAATCATATTTCTTGATCTAATGGGTCCAATTTATCCAAGAGCAAACAGATAATTAGAGTTAAATGAATTGGCCAGTTTCAGATCTATCAAATAACTCTTTTCTAAGCTTCAGGTATGAACATCAGTACATCCTGGCTTTTCCATTACAGAAACAATAGAAATGAAGATCATTTTGAGAGTCACCTGTTGGATTTGTGAATATTCAGACACTAATGTCTGGAACTATCCGGTTTTACAGAATCCAGCTGAACATGGGGTGACATTGCTACTTGAAGCTCATCTATAATCTCAGTTTGAAGGTCGGATTCGCTCTGCAGATTCCACCAATTTGGGAAAAATAGGCACGTTTTTTTGATCGACCTGGAGCCCCATCGCCTTCGGCTCTTCGGCTTAGCTGCCAAAGCCAAATATGCCCTTGATGTAGCCGGTCAGGCCGCCTTTGCCCTTTTGCTCCACCTTGTCATCCAGCGGTGGGAAGGCCACGTGGTTGAGGGCGAGGTCGAAGAACAGAGGCTTACAGGGGATGGGCTGGAACTCCGGCGGGAACTGGACCAGGTTGGGATGCTTCCCAACCAGAGTCTTGTCCAGGTGGAAGTTGTCCAGGTGTTCACACAGAGGCTGAGGAAAACATTCATTTATTACTGCACACGAGAACGAAGCTCGCAGACATCCATCGCTACACACAGATCTTGGGTGGACTCGGACCTGAACCTCCAGAGACGCATAAAGACAATTATAAATTCAGCCTTCCGTCACCTGCTTTAACCGAACTTTGGTCTGTTTGACTTGAAAGTGCGGTTCGTTTAGGGAGGCGTGAATGCGCAATCGAACCGATACGGATCAAAAATGTGAGCCGTGGTCCGGAGATTGCTCCAAAAGCAGGAAGAGAACTGCAGCACAAGGCATTCTGGGTAAATACAACCAAAACAAACGCATGTCTGGTGCTAGCAGGAGAAATTACTCATGCTGAGTCAATTGTTGAGTATTTTTTCACTCTTTCACCAAAGAAAAACAGAAATCCTACAACTGCTAAAATCTGACGCTACTCCATGTTTGTTTACATATTATGAAGAAGGAAGTCGACTTCTTCAGAGGTTTTCGTCTCGTTTCCTTCTGTGGTTCTTGGTGCAGCGCCACCACAGGTGAAAATGTAACAAATGTCATTTTGGTCCCTAATCAAACCGAGTCTACAGGAATAAAATAACTTTGTTAGTTTATAAAAACAATAAATATCTTAGCACTAAAATACAGTAAAGATCTGCTGCATCAACCTGCCACTCAGGTCTTCTGGGTCTAGTCTGCTCTGCAGGATTCAGCCTTTATGTTCATCTAATCTTAAAAACAAAATCCAGAAAACTGCAAAACAGCTGAAACACTGAGTTCCTTTAAATCAAGGCTAAAAATGCAGCTGGCTAGAGCTGCTTTTGATTAATAATAACCCAAATATTGATTAATTCCAGTGTGAATTACAGCTATTTTTCCATTATTATGTTTGTTTTTCTCTGAATCTCCTTGTTGCTGAGAGTTTACAGATAAAGTTGACATATTTAATACTCACTATAACAATACATAATATCAAAAAGCTGTTGGTTTTATTGGAAACACATCTAAGTTCTGAATCGTTACAAGATTAATTACTGACAATCCAAATTTATTGGAAAACCAGTACAGAGATAATAAAAATTAGACATGAATGATGGGTTGTATAAAACTGTAATGTAGCACTTTTTATATAAATGAACGTCTGCAGTAAAATCTAACCGGTCTTACCGTGTTATCCTTCACCTGCTGCTGAGTGCTCACTTCAGGTGCTTCATCAGTGTCTGAAACAAAGTTACATTCCCTCAGGATTTGACATGAAAAACAGGAACGGATCTGTATAATTAACATAAATCCATCTAGAAAAAGGAGGTTTTCTGAAAGGAGTTCCCACCCAGAATGGCAGCAGCTTGCAGTGAGTATTTCTCAGCGTTGACCTCGGCGATGAGCTCCTGGATGTCAGGGAGATCCTGAAAACGTTTGGAAAGACGGTTTTACAAAGATCTCTAAAGAAAAATAAAACACTGCTGGTTATGAACAAACCTTGAGGCTGTTGTTGAGACTCTTGGACTTTGACTGGACCTCCTTGGCATATTTCAGGACTCTCTCGTACAGAACCAGCGCCTCGCTCCACTTCTTCACCAAAACGTAAGACTGAGCGATGAAGAAGCATCTGAAGAAAGAGACACATGAGTCTACTGTGACTACAGGATATGACAGGAGCTCATTAATATGACTATTTTATATTAAATTAGACTTCAAGCATCCATCCATTTTCTTTACACCCTTGTCCCTTAGTGGGGGTCAGGAGGGTTGCTGGAGAGGCGGGGTCACCCTGGACAGGGCGCCCGTCTGTCGCAGGGCAACACAGAGACACACAGGACAAACAACCATCCACACACACACACACCTAGGGGCAATTTGGAGAGGCCAATTAACCTGACAGTCATGTTTTTGGACTGAGGGAGGAAACCGGGGGACCTGGAGAAAACCTATGCACAGGGAGAACATGCAAACTCCATGCAGAAAGACCGGGGCCTGTATCTGTTTTAGCTTAATTGCTGCTCTGAGTGAGTCATTCTTTTTTTTTTTTTAAATTGGCCTTCAAGCAATCAATGCTATTAAAGCTGCAACTAAATTATTTTATCAATTATTCTGACCATTAACTGGATAACAACTGGAAAAATCTGCACTTTAACCAGATTAAAGTTAAAGTGCAGATTCAATCTTGAATCTTGGCCTTTCATTCAAGACTAGAAATTCAATAAAAATTAAAATAAATAATTAAATTCCTTTATTTTTGAATAAATATTTACTTTAGTGAACATTTGCTTATTTGTAGCAAAGGATGCATCTGCAGCAAAAAACACTTCCAACATCACAACTTACCATCAATACAGTTTGGGATTAATATATTGACTATTTTTCAATAAACTGATAGAAAAAGGTGCTTAATGAGAGTTTATTTGTTGCATCATTTGAACCAGATGAAGCTGGACCGTTTTCTTTTTTTATCTTTAATGCAAAACGTATATAATTTTTGTAAAGTTTTAGCTTAATTGCTGCTCTGAATGAGTCGTTCTTTTTTTTTTTAATTGGCCTTTTTGAGTCTTACACAAGTTACCAATTAATCAACTAAATTAGTTGATTAGTAGTTGATCATTTCAACAACTGATTCCTCACAAATGATCATTTCAGCTGTAAATGCTTTAAAACCTAAAAAAGTTTGTAACTAATCAGATTTTGCAGGATTTAAGTTAAAATCTACAAACCTTTTCCTGCAGAAGAGATTCTTCTAATAGAAATTTGAAGCAAAAACACTGTAAAAACTAACCTGTAGGCCTTGTAGACCAAAGTCTTGAGGGAGACTTCCTTCTGGAAGGTGTGGTCGTCCTCCAGACCCTGCAGGGTGGAGAGCTCAGCCAGACTCTGCAGAGAGAGAGAGCAGATATGACTGAGGGCGAGCAAGGACAACCATTGCATCATGACACTTAACAGCCAATGTGAACAGTCTGTCATATTTAAGGTGGAAATGTAACGTTTCTGGGTTCTGCGGCGACCTGCAGGATGATGTCGTAGAGTCGGATGAGGTCTTGTGGTCGGGGGCCCCTCTTGTTCTCGTCGGCGCCGGTTTCCTTCAGTTTAGCCTGCAGAGTGTGGGCCATGCTCTCGTTTCTCTTCACCAGTGTGCACAGCTTGATGTAGGTCAGATAACTGGGGAAGAAGAGCAGCAGCAGGGATATCAGGTGAAAACAAGGAGAAAAAATAAAACCCAGTGCAATCCCCAGTGTTCCCAGGCTGGGCTCAGGCTGCACCGACGCATGACGACGGGTTTGTCACTTAATACATCGTCACAAACACAAAAACGGCGGCTGGACAGAGGGGATCTCAGGATTGTGTGAATGTTGATTTACATCCAACTCATCCATGAGTGAAGTGAGCGTTTTGACTGAAGCACAAGCCTCTGATTTTTACCTGTGCAGGAACTGAAGGTTGGACACTTTCCCACTTTCATTATCGGAGCTCCTCTCTCGCTGTTTCTGGAATCAGAAAAAGTATCGCTTTTAATTTTCTTCCGCATTTATTTTAAACACACTCCAAACCAACTTCAGGCCCAAAATCCATTAAAGCAGATTCTCTCTGGGATTTCACAAAATCCCAGATTTTGTGAAAAAACCCCAAAAAACCCCTGGTATCTCTGCTGCACCAAGAGGATGCGAAAAAGTTCAAAACATGAAAACTTATAACTAGCCTAGCACTTCTTCAGCCATGCTGTCTCATGTTAAAGACTGAAACTTTCCTCTCAGATTACAGTCACACAGCACATCTCGATGCTCAGTTTTGTTCATACTTCTAATTAAACGCACCGTTTCCTGAATAATGGACGACGTCGTTTATAGATCGATTTTAAAATAGTCGAGCATCAGGAACTGAAAGTTTGGTCACCACATCATAAGATGAAGGAAGCCATTATGGGGATTTATCACATCGTTTATCATTTTCACAATAAAGTCCAATTAAAGCTGTTTAAACCCTCCAAAACTGTCCATGTTATCAGGATTGTTAGTTTTACTACTGTGAAAAGTATAAATATGAAAATATGATTAAATGCAGTTATGTGCATTTTAGTGATGCAAATCGAACTTCTCTGTGTAACCGGTTTCCTAAAGAAACATTACAAATGGTAACGTTTTTATGACTTGCAGTCAAACAGCTGCAGAAAAAAACCCAGTTTTTATAAGAATAGTACCACAAAATATTGTGGTAAAACTTGATGTTGAAAATGATCGGATACGTTTAATTTAGTGTCGCATATGGAAGTGGCATAAGTCAGAATTTTTAGAAGGTGAAAAGTTTAAATTTGGGCTGTTCAGTTTGCCCTGAAGTCAGATTTTGGCAAAAAAAAAAAAAAAGAAAGAAATGAAAAGAAAAGTAGGATTTGGGTCACATTTGCCTGCTGTGTGAATGAAGCCGTAACATTTTTAATTGACATTTGAAGGAAAAAGTAGCAACAAACTTGGATGTAGATGAAAAACACAGGAAAACCTGCTCCACTGTGTTTCCAGTACATTATGTCTAAAGTGGGACTCTCCCTAATTATTCTTTAGTAACGTCTGAACATCCACACCACTCCCTGTGTGCTGGGCCTCAGTTTGTAGATTCGTAGGACGTCGGTGCGCCTCTTACCGCCTCGTTCTTCAGTTCCTCCCTCACGGCCTGGATGGTGTCTCTGCACTCGGCCAGCAGCGTCTCGTACAGATGCTCTTTGGTCTCCTCGTTGACGGCCTGCGCAACAAAAACACCAGGCCAGACCTGCAGAGTTCATCTCCAGGACGACAGAACAAAGTTCTCCAAAATGACACCAGTTCATCCACATGAAGGGTTAATTCAACTATATTTATTCATATTAAAGGACGAGGAGTTTGTAGGGTTGAAACTATGTGAAGTTTGCAACAATGAAGCAATAGTAAAGGCAGGAATGTGACGGTGATGAACTTCAGGTATGTGGCCAGGCGGGTCATCGTACATTCCTGCACATCACTCGTGTGTCGCAGCGTAGTTTCAGGGTTCAGATCGACAGAACTGGTCGTCTTCGACAGGAAATCTGAGAAACGCTCAGATATAAGAGGAATCGTGTGGCGCATTGTTTTCACGTTCAAAAGCAAATTTATTTAATTGGAATCCAGTTACTGCAGCTACTCGTGGCGTTATTATAAAGCGGGCAGCCATTTTGTATTTACAGTTTTTGTTAGAATTAAGAGTTTAAGTAGAAACCCAGAAGTTACTGCGATAAAGGATGATATTGTTTTTAGACTATTTTCAAGTGACATAACAGTAATGGTATAATAATGCAATAACACATTCGCACATATCAATAAACTTTAAATTCTAATGAACATTTAACACTGGCACTGGAAGATGTTTTAAATATCCAAAATAAAAACAAACAAAATTAATTATAATTAATTAATTATAAAGTCTCTAAACAAAATTAGCTTATTGAAACTAAAGCAGCAGATTGAAAAGTTTATCCGGTTTTTTTGGAAGAAAAAGAGAAAAACAACAAATCATGCAAATGAAAATTATTGAGCTTGTTTTAATTTATCATGCGATTAAATGATGTATTGCAACAGGCCTAGAAGCCAGAAGTATTAAATGACTCCTGTAAGAATATTTAACAGAAGAAGAAGTTTCTGAGTGCAACTCTAAGTTAAGCTGGGAACAAATGAGCAAAGATCTTCATTTTCCCCCACAATCTTGGAAGAATAAATACATTTTATAACTGCTCTTAGGATTACAATACTTCACCACATCCTGGTTGCTGTAATCGTTTTGTTTTTGGTAAATAAAATTCATCTGAAGTTGCATTCGTCTAATTTCAGAACTGGGTGAAAACCAGATATTTTTTTAAAAATAAAAGGTTCCTGCTCCTGGTTAAAATTTACTGAAACTCTTAGAAGGCTCAGAGTTTGGTTGACAAAAAAACTAAATTTTGATTTTCACGTTTCTGAGGTCAAACAATGGAGAGGAAGCAACAGGTTAGAGGATTTCACCAGAACATTCCTGGATGAGTCAAAAGCTGCTTCAATCCACCCAGGATTGTGACGTTTCTTTGAGCTGCAGACTTTCACCAACACCCAGCCGGAGCCCAGCATGACCAGCCGAACCAGTTGGACACACAATCTGATCGGAGATGGGAGAGGCTCTGCACTTCAGAGTGATGTCTGAAGGCCTGACCTCATGTTCTCTGACCCTAAGAGGAGTTCATCAGCTGTTACCTACTGGGAAGCAGCACCTCTGATAAGACATTGTGATATAAAGTATAATTTAGATGCATAAAATAAAAAAATAAAAAATCGTAGAACGGTGCTGATTAGAAAGCAGCTTCGGCTCACGTTTTGAGCCCAACATGACAGACTTTAACGCTGCAGGTTTTTCCCAAAGACTCTTTTTACAACTGAAATGTCTTGGGGAAATAAATCTGCTGCGTCTCGGTCCAGAGATCTGCTGCTGGGTGCGGCTTTGTGAAATGCTCAGAACGCAGCGATGAGACGCGACATGCCAGAGAGCTGAGTGGCGGCGGGCGTGACAGGCGAGCCGACAGGAAGGGCCGGAAGAAGAGAGCGAGGAATGTTTGGCTGATCGGGCGGGGGATTCACAGCAGAGGACAGCGCCACACACTGGTGGCTCCAGGAACTGCGTATAATGAAGGACAACAGCACTCCAAATTTTCAACATAGACCAGAATCCAAAAGTTTGAAATACTCAGAGAGATCAGTTTTCCTGATTGCAGGATTCTGGACGATCTTTAAAAGGCCTGATCTGCCGACTGCGATTCTAGTCGGTACCATTTGTCGCGGACTTCTAGGTTCCAGAACCAAAAATGTCCAACGGAGGTTGTGTTAACAGGTGGTTACGTACTTTCGACTTCATTGTTTTAATTTATTTCTTGTAAAAATATAGACAAAATAATTACTAAAAATCTCTGACAACTTAGTTGAAAACTAAAGGTAACTGACGTTAAAAGTTCAAAAAAGTGGTTAAAAAAAAGATTTTAGGAAAACCTCCCCTCATCACACCGAACATTCACCAAACAAAAGACCTCCACCAAACACCTGCTGTGTTCTTAATCACTTAATGTAATGGAAGAGTCTAAAAGCTACCAAAGTCATCTAAACAATTTCAGATATAAAAATTCATTACCAATTTTGGTTTTGAACCAACTTCAGTAACTGTTCAAAGAAAACTGATGGAAATCACAATTTACAAAATTTCAGCATAAATGGCCACAATTTTATGTCTGAAATATTGCTAAATATAGCAAGAAAGTCGCCAAGTTGGCAACAGTGGGGTTAACTGTAAACGTCCAGACATGACCTGGTGGGCCGGTCCGTCAGTCGAACCTCTCCAACAGGAAGGACAGCGGCTGATTTTTAAACTTTTGGTAGATAAGATCAACTTCACATGCAAGTATCGGCTGATCACCAATCTCCCAAAACTAACAAAATTGGCGCTGATAAATCGGTGCGCCCATAATGAAAAATAATTGAGGGTTTTTTTGTTTTTTTTACTTTAAATGCACAATATTAAATTTAGCATACCATTATGGAGCTAAAACAGTCTCATCATTCACACATTTGTTTCAATTATGAGACTGTTTTAGCTCCATATGCCACATATTAAACAAAAAGGCACTAAACTTTGTCACTAATGAGCCACTCATTTGGTGGATGACCTTACATGCCCGGTGCACAGACGATGAGCCTGGACGCACCTAAAGGTCGACGGTTCCAACATCTTCTTCCCCTTGTTATACTTATAAATACAAACAACTTTAACTGAATGTGTCTTTTCTATTCCCAGAATTTGTTTTGAAAATTTTTATATTTTACACAAAGTGAGAGGAAGGAAAGGAAAGACAAACGTCTCAAAGTGAGCCCCCTGCTGGCCAGTTTGTGTAATAACCAGCAGAGAACATTCATATTGCTTCAACTACGTTTAAATGCAGATTTTAGCAGCTTTAGTACAAATTAGTGATGCACTGATATGAAAGTTTGGGCCGATATTGATATCCGATATAAATATTGCTGTTATGGCAGATCTACGATACTACATGCATTTCTCTATTGTTTGAACACCTTTGAAAAAAGGACATTTAACCGGCAACAGTAAGAACATCTGTTTGTTTTAAAGGGTGCTGTCTGCGTTGAGATCATCACGCTTTTAAAAACATGTCGTGTTTTCACGAGTGAGAGGCTGACCTGAGCGATGGCGGCCTCGTTGTCCGCCAGACCCAGGAGGAATATCCGAGCCTTGTCGATCTTGACAGGAACGCTCCGGCCTCGCCACTCCACCTCGCTCATCGTGGCCGCCTGCTTGGTTCTGGCTTGAGTGATCAGAGCCTGAGGGGAACAAAACACTGAATTTAATACTGTCTCTCTGATTAAAAGACTTTTTAAATGTCTAATGACTCAACTCAACTCCCAAAACCTGCAGCATCATCTGTGACGTTGTCAAGGCAACTCTTTTTTTTTTAATGGACTGTGTTTTTGTGTTTTTAAAACCAACCAACTTTACAAATCCGCTTTTTTTTTTTTAACACCTTATTGTTTGCTCCTTTTGTTGTGATCAAGAATAAAATGTAGAGAGTTAAACATTTGCCGTGGCCACCCAAGACTTTGGAATACCTTACCTCTAACTCCATCATTTAAATCTCAGCTAAAATCTCATCATCATAACTTCTTCTCTTTGGCCAACGCCTGATTATGTATGGAGTCACTTAATGGATTAGTTTTAAATCTTAACTCTGCTTTATGTACTTTTTATTATTGTTTCATAATTGTGGATGAAACTGAAGCATTTTGGTCAACAAATGTTTTTAAATGTTCTACATAAATAAGTTTGACATCAATATTGTTTTGATCCAACTAATCTGGGCCGTTCACAATAAAATAATAAATCCTTCTAATAAATAAATAAAAGAGCCAATATTTTGCGCGCTGCAGCTTCCTGTCTGAGATTTGTGGTTTGCTCTGTTCATTGTGTCCAGAAAGCAGCTGAAACGACACTTATTAAATGTTATGATGTCCAAAGCAAACCTGCTTCTTAAGTAAGAAAACAAACTTATCTGTAAGATTTGTCTTTATGTGATTAACTGGAACGTCACTGAAATATAAATTAAAATAATATCAAATGTTAGAATGAGCTGCTCTGAATGAAAACATCAGTAGCAACAAAACTTGAGTTTGATTATGACCATCTGGTCAGATGCATTTTCAGAAATATAAACATCTGATGTCATGAATTGAAAGAAAAAAGCCTAGCGCTGCATCACCTCCAGCTTTTCAGCCATCATGCCCCCTCCTCCGCCGGTCAGCCTCATCTGCATCAGGTCATTGATGGCATTCTGGTCACCTGGAGGTTCACAGTGAAAAGCTCTTAGAAAACTCTCCCTACCTCAGAATAACCTGAAGCTGAGGCTCGGTAGCCAGTTACTCACCTATGTTGTAAGCACAATAGCGGATGTTGGGCGAAATCTCATCCACACGCTGGCGATACAGAACAGCCATCTCCTCGGTGAAGGCGCTGGCCAGTTTCTCATAAATGGTCCTGGTAAAAAACAGAGGAGATTACTTTTACTCTTCTTCGTACGTTTATTGACATAAATCCAACACCGACTCCTTTTTTTTCGGACACTGTACTGTAAGTAAAGTTAGATTAAAACTCACTTGCACTTGTTGAATGCCTCCATTGCAAGTTTCCACTCCTGCAGCTCAAAGTGAACCATCCCTGTCAGGTACGCAGTGTAAGCCTGGAACAAATCCATCAGCAATGACTGAAAACCGTTTCATTCCTCTCCGTTTAGTAACAAAAAGAAAGGTTAAGTGGAACACAGGGAACTTTTAATTCAGAGAAAAGTACAAGATACTTTATAATTGTCAGCATTTATTCCACACACTCCCATCATGAAAGTGTTATGAAGTGTTAGCCGGTCTTCAGCGAACCTGTGCTTCCAGTTTGGTCTTGGCGTCGACACGGGGGCTCTCGCAGAGCTTCTCCAGCTTCTCGCTGTGCTTGGCGGCTTTACGTAAACGAGCGAGCAGGTGGAACTTCTTCCTGGGCTCCGTGTTGGCCTCCTGCTTCAGCTGCATGGCGTAGCTCCACGCACGCTCCGCCTCCATCAGGACGAGCAGCAGATACCTGCAGGGATGAAGGGAAGCTTCATGCATGCACTCATTTACCAGCGGACATGAACTTCGCAAGAAAACAGCTAAAGTAGTTTGTCAAACTGTTGCAACTTCCAGGACCTTTTAAAATGACACCATAGATGATCGAGGATAAAATAAGGAAAAACTTCTATTCAAGAGAGCCACGTTTAAATTGTCGTCAGTGGTTACATTAATCAGGGAATTTATTTTTGCTCAACAATTATGAATAACTCACCTGTCCATGGTGTCAATTGGCTGTATGTAATATAATGGAAACCTGACCAATATATACTCTATATCTACTTTTTTCAGTCAGTCTTTTTTTTTTCTTAAAAAACTCTTGTACTCCCAAAAAGTGTGAAAAAATAAAAAGAATTACACAGGAAGACAAATTTAAAGTCCGTAAATAAACTGTTATTTGAAAATAATAATAATAATTTGTTTCATGGCAGAATTTTCCCAATTGCCATTTTATTTTTATTATCGGTGTAAGTTTTTAAATTGGGTTTGATGCAAATCGAAGGTAATAAATTCTGAATAATTTTAAACTTTTGCTACAACCGTAGTAAAAATTGCAAACGTATCTATTTAACCAAAGAACATGTATCTTTACTAGATTTTATAACAACTTGATAAAACACACGATGCATTGTTGTCCTGTAGAACAATTTAAAGGGGCGGTATTATTATTCTCCAGGCACATTGTGCTTCAAAATGGCACGATTAAGAAACTGCTACTAAAACAGATTTATATGTCAAACATAAATTAAAAGAAACTGCTTTGTAACCGGCCTCTCTCTTTAATTGCTTTGTGGAAATAGACATTGTGAAACAAATCGTTAAGACACACCTGACTGGTTGCAACAGAAGATTCAATGATTTCTCAAACATACATGAAAGAATCAAGGCAACACACCAGCTATGTTTTTGATGAGGGAACAACATTATGATATGAACTGATTATATTGTTATTTTCTTTAAAAAAGTGACATATTTAATGACCAAAAGCTACGACTAGATTAAGTAGTGTTGCACCAGAGTCCAAGTTCACATCAGCCGTTACCAACCTGCTGTCAGAAAGGATTTCCACTGTGATTTTCTTTCCAACAAACTTGTGTCTGTTTCCCATCTTGAAGCCAAGAGTCTTTCGGAGGCGGCGCAGCCTACGAGAGCAGTAGCCCCTGCAAAGAATTAAAAAAAAGGCATTTCCACTGAAATAAAGTAAGATAAATGTGCATTCACTTTAAAACAACTCCATTTAGAGACAATACAGAAGATATAGTCTATTTTCACCTGTTGAATTCTCTTCAGTTAGCTCAATGTTTACATTGTACAGATTTCTATGACAAAAAGCACAAAACATTTACTACAGTAATCTATTAGAAGTACTTCAAAAAGCAGTTTTACTGCTCAATACTTTTTTATTTCAGTAATAATTAGTTAAAGTAATGCTACGCTCACTTTTTGGATACTTAAGTTACTTCACTGAATGAGGATTAGTCATATTTTAACCAAAAATGCACCAGACAGACTGTATACTTAAAGTAGGACTCCTTTGAACACTAGATTTTCTTTCTATCAGCAGCTCCTTTTGGAAATGAAATGAATATAGTAAGCAGCATATGTTGTCACTGGAACTATTTTACACTATTCTATTCTTATATTATATATATATACTTTCCTTACTGTAGTTCTGGGCTTAACAGCTTCATGCTGAGAAACCTCTGCCTGAATTTAATATTTTGTCTCTTTTACATTGTACCCGTTCTTTAAAATGTCAGAATTTGCACATAACCTTATATTTTGAGATCGTTAAGATTTTTCTTTTTTTATAAATTAAAATAAAATGTTATGTTCACAGTTATTCAACGTAGCCTTTTTTAACCAAATACTCTTACCCGAGTACAATTTTTAGCTTCGCTACCACCTCTGACTGTACTGAACCATAATATTTTACATCTGTATATTAAAAGAGGTATGAATATTTATTTTCCAAGTTTATAAATGCAGTTTGAATAGAAACTGAGCTAAATAATGACCCTGAATCTCACCTGTATCTTTGGTAGTCTCCGTGCCTGAGGCCATGTTGCTGCTGGGACTCCTTGATGATTTGAAGAACTGCGATTCAGTGTTAAGAGACAAACTTTATATATATCAATAGACAAATGTGATACTATCAAGTCTGAATGTGTGTGCAGCGCTGGCACCAGATGAATGAACCAACAGTGAGCTTAGAAAGCGCAGAGCTAATGAAACTTAAAAGATGGTACACGTTTTTTTCTTCTATATTTTAGCGTTACTTTTCTGTGACAAGCTGTGTTTTACATGCAGACAAAATATCTGCTGATTAAATAAATTATTCAAAGTTCTGCGATGTCAAAAATAAAACGTTTTCATGTCCACCATGGGTAGTCAAATGACACGTAGCCTAACCGAGCTAAGCGTTACCAAGCAGCTAACGTTAGCTTAGCTTTGATGAACTAGAAACAGCTTCGGTCATTAAAAAATCACCACCCCGATGAGAAACGCCACAATGTGAAGGATACTTTCCAAACCCAGCCATCCTTCCTGTACATTCTCTTTATTTTCTTCCGTAGGAGAGAGTTTAGTCTCGATCTGCTTGTCCGCAGTCATCTCTGCAAGCTAACAGCTAATCTGAATCACACACACCAACAGCAGACCCACTGAGAGGCATGAGAAATTGATTAATCTCGCGAGATTTGGAGAATAGCCTACCTTTAAAGAGATATAAAAGCAAACAGAAATTGAACTTTACTGACTAGCGCGACTTCAACATATTCAGATACATTTACTTGAGTAACTTTATAGTAAAAATAAATAAAAAAAATACTTGTTTTCCTTTACGGTACTTTTTACCTTTACTTGAGTGTTATTATGAAGTTCTGATACTTTTAACTGAATAAAATTTCTGGATTCTCTACAAACTGCGAGTAACTGAATAAAAACAGCCTTGTTTCTTTCTGGTTCCTTTCTTTAACACATCTGATACAGATGGTTGTTACTAATTAAGTGATTTATGTTTTAAATCGGTAACACTTTTTTTCTTTAAAAAAAAAAAGATTTTTAAAGAATTTTTAAAAGAAAATTTTCATTTCAATCCACAATTGCGCACCTAGTTTGCGTAAAATCCAAATAAAATATACCGAGTTTTGTAGTTATAATGCTACAAAATGTGAAAAGTGTAGGAATACTTTCCAAGCAATGTACATCAAATGAAGAAACTGCAGAGCCGATGGGATGTGAAGATGTATTTTCCACGTAATTTTGATTAAATTATCAATACGATGAACAACATATTAAATAATGATGGGTGAAAGTTCCAGAAAAACTGCAAACAGGCTGATAATGTAGTTTATTTTTCTAACAGGTTTTATTGAAAATAATAATAATAAAAAAAACAGGTCATACTCCATTGTGTGATGCAACAATGTTGAAGTAATGTCATAATTTCCCCTGAGAAATAATTACTTTGCAGATTTTTTGACTTTAACTGGTCATCTGTTCACTGATCATCCTCTTTGTGATAAATCAACCATCGACTGGAAGCTGAGGACATTTTACTTCCAAACGGTCTCTTTAGCCTTTTCAGAAGACTCCAGCAGTTAAAGCCAAAACGTCTCTCAGTTTGGTTGCGACAGGTTTACTTATGGGACTGAGTTATTTGCTGAGAGGGAAGTACAACATGATTTTCACACATTCAGAATTTGTCAGCAGCAGAAACATATTTAGAGAGAAAGTTCCTAATTTCTGAAATGTGCATGGTCTCTCTGATGGTTGTGTCTCTGCTGCGGACTTGCAGTAGGCCGCTCTCCAGAGTCTTTTCACCGATCACCACAGTGAAGAGAACGCCCATCTCATCATATCTGGAATCGATTTACAGAAAAACACAAGTGATGAGCCATAATTTCTGCATTTCTCCTGATAGTGAACAGAAAGACATTTCATCAGTAAGGGGCATTTATTTACTTGGCATTCAGAAGCTCTAATGATGTCGGCACAGCTTCAAGATATCCAGGCCACGCAGAGATCTTAGCTTCCAGAAACTCCTGCAGGAGGCCCTCACAGATCTATGATAAATGTTCAAACAATTAACATTCTTCCTTTTATGCATGCTGATTAGATAATTTCATATTCTGGGATCAAAGGACAGAATAAAGATCTGACCTGCCTCATTTCCACAGTGGCTCCCTTGCCGACATCTAAAGCCACTTTAACAGGAGCCAAAACTGGATGCAGCTTTAAAACCTAAAACAGAAACGGAAAACCGGAGGTCACTACAGAGAGAAGTGCGTATATTCCAGGTGAGATGCAGCAACGCGTCACCTTTCTCTGCTGCAGCCTCACCTTTCTCTGCTGCAGCCTCACTTTTCTCTGCTGCAGCCTCACCTTTCTCTGCTGCAGCCTCACCTTTCTCTGCTGCAGCCTCACCTTTCTCTGCTGCAGCCTCACCTTTCTCTGCTGCAGCCTCACCTTTCTCTGCTGCAGCCTCACCTTTCTCTGCTGCAGCCTCACCTTTCTCTGCTGCAGCCTCACCTTTCTCTGCTGCAGCCTCTTTTTGCCGTCTTCTCTTCTGAGCTCCTGGAGGGAGTTGGACAGGAAAGCCATCGCGCCGCGGTCCATGTTGCCGCTCACGGACACAACGTGGGGAACGGACTTTCGACCATCTCGAGTCTGGAGCGCAAGCAGCAAGTCAGAAAATGGTTACATGTTATCTGAAACAGCAGAATAAAATAATAATTTAACCTGACAGACTTAAAATATTTCCCTGCAGTCTTTTTTTCTGAAGGAACTTCAGCTTCACCTTAGAAAATGGTGGAAATCTGCAAAAAGAGAAAATCTTACTAACTATTTTTAGTTTAGTTTCTAGTGCAAATATCTTAATACACTTGAAATGAGAGAAAACTGACATACTTTTAATTTTTAGCAGGAAATATGAGCTTGTTTAAAGTAAATAATTCATTAATATTGATGGAAAAGTGCTAGCTATAAGTGAAATAATCTGTCAGCGAAACAAGATATTTTTATTAAAACTTAAAATCTCCACTGGCAGATTATTTCACTTACAACTTAGTGCTTTTTCATCTATGTTAATGAGTTATTGATTTAAAATCAGCTCCTAATTCTTGCTGAAAAGTTGTCATTTATTTGAACTAGAAACTAGACAAAAAACAAATACTTGGTACGATTTTGTGTTTTCATTACTGATTAATACTGCAATGACAACATCAAAAGCAATAAATATGAATTTATGATGATGATGTCTCCACTAATATTCCTGATTTGTATCATCCAGGTTACTTAGATTTAAATCTGGTGTGTCCATCCAACTGGCCAAATATATAATCGATAAATGAATATTATAGCCAATCAAATAGTCCATCCAATGCTGTGATGGTAACAATGACAACATTTGTAATTTCAAAACAATTGTGACTAAAGAAGAAGAAGACAAAAAACAAACAAACTTAGAATTCCACAAATTTTAAGATTTTTCCTAAAATTAGGACATTTCTTTTTTAGCTGACCATGTTTAAGACATGACATCATTTCATTTAATTAGTTGCTAGGTGTTCTCCCAGCTGAATCCTTTCACACTTTCCTGCATTTTTGGCCACTTACTGGCTCTGATCCACCTATTTTGAGACCTGTAGCAAGAGCTTCACATCTGAAACGAGTTTATTTTGGCATAAAATAGTCAAGTTTCTCAGTTTAAACATTTATTATGCTCTGTTCTGAATAAAATGTTGACTTTTGCGATTTGAAAGTCTTTGAGTTTTTATTTTATTTGGGTTGCATCACAGAGTTAAGAGTGAAACAACATTGCAGAAAGAACCTGGGGAGACAGAGGGCCTAACAGGTTTAGGCTGACCTGCAGTTTGGAGCGGATGCCCTTATGCACCTGCAGCAGCTCTGCGTCTCCTCGGCACCACAGCGTCTCCAGCGATTCGAGGCCCCACGGAAACTTGTACAAGATCTTCACCCCTCGAGACGTTTTCTCTTCAAGCTCGTTTTCAGGCACCTCGGCGCTGCTGAAGTCAGAGGGAGACAAGGCGAACTGGACGGGTTGAAAGGAGATGACAACACAAAATGGATGACATATGACAAAGTCTGAGACTGAAACAACCAAAGAGTGTCACAAAAACAATCTGATCATGATCCTGTAAGTTGGACATCAATATTTGGGGAAAAAAATCATCTTCCCCTATTATTCACTTTATCATCATCATCATCATCAACATATTCTGGAAAGTCTAAATTCATACAATAACGTCTGGTTTTCTTATAAATTCAAATATTTCTGTTTTCATATTATTTCAACTCATTTCTCAGCGGGACGTTTTTCCACCGTCTCTTTTATTTGAGTTTCTGTCAACACTCACATTCCTCCACCACTTCAGCCTGTGGCGGGCCCAGTGATCCAGCCACTGGGACGAGGAGCGAGGAGAGCAAAACAAAACCGGGGACGTCTGGGTGATCTCAGCGGAGCTGGCAGGAAGACAGAAACGAGTAAGTGAATCTAAACAGACTGTCGACATCTTGTGGAAGCCACAACCAGAAAACCATCCTTTCTATTCCAGAGCTACAAATGTGTCTGTAAAATCACAATCACTTAATTAAAACCACAACAAGTGCAGTCATAACATGACTTGTTGATTCCACCAGATACTGCAGGTTCTCAGCCACAGGTGAAATAAATTTAAGGATGTTAAACTTGTAATCCGAAGGAGTAACCACAGGATTGGACAATAAATCAACATCAATGTGTTCTGTGATAGACACATGATCAATATCAATAGATAAGGCAGCTGATAGAATATTCAATAATTCCACTGAACTCTGAACCAGAACCGCACAGCATTCTGGGGAATGTAGGCAGACAAAAAGACTTTAGCTGCTCAACCTCTCACTGCGAAGCAAAGTTGGTGGAATCAACTAACTCACTCACTCATTCTTTTGTTACCTAGCAACTCACTCATTCTTTTGTTACCTAGCAACTCACTCATTCTTTGGTTACCTAGCAACAACCTGTTCAGTTAACTGCCGCAGCAGCAGTTACACGCTTCCTAACTGCTTAAAAAATAAAATAATAACAGCACGGGATGAAAACTGTGGATAAAACTGTTTTAGGTTACACCATCAGTTTTGCAGTATTTCAGATATTTGGAGTATCTGAACCTCACCAACCATCTGAAGGCTGGAAACACGGACCGGACTCAGCCAGGCCAAAGGGAAGCTTTTTGTTCACCATCTCCAGAGAGGGCACAAACTGCTCCAAGGCACCTGTAAACACATCATGAGTTATACATGTTATAAATCCTGGACGCACAAATTTACAACGGTGTATTAGGGCCATTGTAGATAGATGAAAAAGAAAAAAAAAAGTTTCAATTTTCACCAAAAAACAGGAATTTTTAGATTAATCTCACAAATTTTCAAGAAAGAAACTTGGACATTTCTGATTTTGAAAAGCCAAAACATTTGCTAGAAGAAGCTCGGAAGGTTTCAAGACAAAAAAAAAAAGACTTTTGTTAATCTGAAAATTCCTCAGTTTTTCAAGCAAAATTTCAACTTTGCAAACTCAGAAATCTCCAGGTTTTTTCTGGAAAATTTCTGAGATTAATCTAAAAATCTTTGAGTTCTTTTGAAGGAAATTTGCTCCTTTTCTCTATCTACATTGGGGAAATTTCCAAAACGTATGATAATTATAGAAGGATGAATTGTTTCTACCTTGAAGTAAACTTGTTCTCACAGATGGAGAGCTCAGCAGCAGCCTGTTCAGCTTCTGGATCAGCTGCTCTCTGCTCAACTCAGACTGATCCAGTATCTGCTGGAAAGGTTCAGATTGAACAACCCGGGCTCCTCCAGCTGCTCTGACCGGGCTGTTGCTCACAGTATTCACCCCGAACACCCAGGCCCTGGACCCGGTCACCGAGTGCCACCATTGCTGCAGCAGGTTCCTCTTCAGCTCCACGCCCAAAGGTCCGTAGCTGCAGCTCCAGCCTCTCCGGAACAGCTCCGAGTTGCTCTCTCCGGGAGAAATATAGTATCTGTCCGCACAGAGCTGCAGTAAAGTCCGGACCCGGTCCAAAACATCAGGCGGTGCTGTGTCACAATGTCCTCTGGTGCTCTTCAGTGGAGATGTAAGCTGTGACAGGATGCAGCGTCTGGCGCTCAGAGTCAACATGCTGAAGGTGGAGAGTATCCCCGGTCCAAATATCAAGCTAAGTCAGGAATAAATTATGATAAAATCATTTATGTGCACCTTCTGGGCCACAATCACTCCTAAATCCTGCTGTAACAGACTTCCAATACTGTCTGAAGGAAACATTTGCGGATGTTAAACAAAAAAACAGCTCCGCACTGAGCTAAGCTGAGCGGCGTCACAACCCGCAACATTTACGGTTTTTAGGGTCACTGCTCTCCCGGTACATATGCAGCTATAATATCTGGAAAAAGGTTTGCAATATACAAAATAAACTACACCAGGATCAAGTATCTATGAAGATACATCCAGCATGCTTTCCAGATCCGGAACTTAGTGATTAACATCCGGGTCATGACGTGAGAGAATCTGGTTACTAAGCAACGAGAAGTCGCTTAACGGTAACGTATTTCCATTGATCCAACTAATTGTGTTGACAACTAATTTGATTTTAATAAGATTATTTCTGCCGCAATAATACATATTGTCTGTAGTTAAAATTATTGTATTACATATTTTATAATCAGTAAACTCGAATTAGTTCAAGTTTTACATCACATTAGCCACAGTCATGGCAACTAAGTAGCCTACAGTAAAAAACCAACCACTGTATATTAATAAATAAAATTAGCAAATTATTAAAATATACTTCATTAAATACATGTAAAAACTGGACTTTGTGTGTGTCTAAATTATGTCCTGGTTCTCTGCAATGGACTTAAGTTACTTTATTTGTATGGCTGTGTAGATTTTGTTACTGTTGACTAATTTGACTATGCAGAAGTGGAACACTGAACATAAGCTTTTAGAACTGTAAAGGTTACCAACAGTTTATTCAATTAAAAATGTCAAATATTTAATCTGAAATGGACGTTTGTGTTTCTCTATGCATTTGAATGATGTCATAAAAATGCACAAGCTTAAAATAAAAAGGTGATCAAAGGAAGGTTCTTTGAAGATGTTACTACGTCCCTATTGAATCAATTTCTCTTTTCATGGCTAGTTGAGTAAGAAAGAAAAACTAGATGCATTTCTACAAAAAGAAGACTAAATGTTACACTATTGTTTTTTGCTGAAAGTGATCAGTTTACATACAAATAGATCAATTTAGTCAAACAGTTTACATGTTAGTGCAAATCTTTAGGGGAAAAAAAAAACTGAAAAAATTACAAGTGAGAATTTCAGCCAATATGAATAGTTTTAATATTTATAAACAGTACTATGAATGGATGCTGCTCTCAATGTGCAATGTTACAAATAAATGTCTCATTTCCTTGTCCTTCACACATCTGGCACAAAAAGGTTTTAAGTATCTAAAAAAATCCCCACTCCCTTAAATATTCAACACCAGTCAGACAAGATTGGATTTTCTCATTTTTATTTAAAAGGGACCCTGGGCACCCTTCAGATACAATTTTCATATCACTTTAAACTGAAAGTGAAAACACAGGATTACCTAGTAAAAATAAATTACTGAGGAATGTAACAAAAAAAAAAAATAAAATCAAATAAAATAGAAAATACAGTCCAGGAAAAGTGCAGCAATCATGTTTACACTATGGGAGACTTTATGATCCCATTTACTCATCTGGGTTTACTGAATAATTCCAACCATGCTGTAAGCAAAACAACGTTAAACAAGTACAAAGAATAATATGAGAATCGTACGGTAAGATTTCAAGACTCATGTTGGGGTCTGATAATGTGAATTTACAATATTTACTGAGGGAATGGCGGTGGCATCGGGTAGGGCACCATTGGTGGCGGTGGCGGCGGCTGTTGGTTCTGTGGCGGCGGCTGAGAGTTGAAGGGGAACGGCGGGTGGTTCACGCCGTTCTGAGCGGGCCTCTGCATGCCGCCAAACTGAGGGGGGCCTTGGAAGTTCTGGTTACCGAAGCCGCCAGCGCCGCCGCCTTGGTTTGGTGGCGCGCTAAAGTTACCTTGTCCGTTACTATTGCTGTAATTGCTGTTGCCATAGTTACCGCTAGAATTGCTATTGTTGCCTCCATAATTCCCACCGTTTTGGGCTTTGCTTCCCCCAAAGGCGGTTTTCGGCCCGTTGCCGAACCCTCTATCGCCGTCCCTGTCCCTGTAGCCGCCGCCGCCACCGAAGTTACTTCTGCCGCCTGAATACCTATCGCGACGGTCATCCCTGTAGCCACCTCTTCCCCCCCGTCCGCGACCTGCATCAGTGGACGACAAAACAAGAGAGAGTGGTGAATACATTAAATCTGAAAATGCAATGCTGAGATACAGAAATATGTCTATACATTAGAATATCAAAGAGTTCAGTTTTTTTAAGTTCAAAATGGAAACCCCACATATAGATACATTATATAAAGTGATACAGAAAGACTGTGTTTACTAATTTCGATGAATATGGTTCACAACTAAAGGACACCCAGATGTCAGGAAACTTACACTTCAAAGTAGGCCTGTATTTGCAGGATATGTGCTACAACTGTTACTTTCCTCATATTAAGCCATTTCAGAACCAAAAGCTGCTTCAGAAACCTAAATAAAGTACTAGGAATGGTAAAACAGGAAGCGGTTATGTCACTATATTTTTCATGCAAAATAACTAATCAATAATTATCAATAAACTCATACAAAATGCTAAAATAGTGATACATTTTACAGGTGTATTGTCTAAATAAAGTGACACATTTTTTCCCTCACCGTTAGAAATTAAATCAGACTAAACTTCTCTTGTTTTAGGTTAGTTAGAATTATGAAAACTTAGCGAGAAAATTTTTTTTTAGAGACTGACTTTTTTTTAAATTCAGAAGTTTAAATACAGGATGTACTCTTCCCTATCCTTTCAACAATGCGAAAGTTAAACAACCCACAATCCAGAAATGCATCACATTATTGAACAAATAAAAAATAACCAACACTTTCCCTCCCACTTCTGAAACACAATTAGCAACAAGATGGCTGTTAATATCAGCTTAGTTTTATTTGTTGGACCAATACAGATGTTAATAATGACAAATGCAGCACTGGAAAAAATTAAGAGACCACTTAAAATGATCATTTTCTCTGATTTTAATCTTTATAGGCATATGTTTGAGTAAAATGAACATTTTTCTTTTATTCTATGAACCACTGACAACATGTCTCTGAAATTCCAAGTAAAAATTTAGTATTTGTGGAAAATGAGAAATGGTCAAAATAACGAAAAAGATGCAGACCTCAAATAATGCAAAGAAAACAAGTTCATATTCATTTAGAAACAACAATAATAATGTTTAAGCACAGGAAGAGTTCAGAAATCAGTATTTGGTGGAATAACCAGGAGGTTTTCAATGGGAAGTCTCTTAGTTTTTTCCAGAGCTGTGTCTGACATTAGTGCCGATATATTGTGCATCCCCAATAACAAAGCCATAAAGAGCTCATTACCTACAGAAGCAGGTAAATTAATTTTAGTTTTACCTCCTCTGTCCTCTGCCATCTGGATGAGCTTGGGATTGATGGCCTGGTTAGCCTCGCGCAGCACAGAGATCAGGTCGCTGGCCTGTTTCATGTTGTTGGGGGTGAAGAAGGTGTAGGCTGTGCCCGTTTTTTGACTGCGGGCCGTGCGGCCAATGCGGTGGATATAGTCCTCGGAGGAGTTAGGGTAGTCATAATTGATGACAAATTTCACATCCTCCACATCTGTGAAAGTGTTGCAGTGTGGCAAAACAATACATAGGAGGCCACAGGATTTTGCACACCACAACAGCCAGATCAGAGGGAAAAGTTAGCAACTGGTCAAAGCTGAGGGGAGAAAAGTGGTTATTTAGCTGTGGAGGAAACAGATTAGAGGCGACAAAAGAGTGTGTAAACATCTATTCCATGGGAATACTACTGTGGGAAGAGAGAAACGATGCACACTCCTATTGCTTACCCTAATCAAGAGTCAAAGACAGTCTCCCTTATCTACAAAAGGGAGTGAAGATAGATTTAAGTCTTACCATAAAAGGAGTATGCATTCACTAGTCCTTTCCCAATGCAGCGAAATCCCCCACATATTGTCAAGTGACATCCAGGAGCTTCTACGCAGTTAGGCCAACCATGTGCACTGGGACCTCCTCATGAGCCAATATAGGACCATTGAGTGGTACGTTTTTGCAGGTTCAGGTTTTTCCCCAGTACACTCTCATAAGAACCTTGATATTAAAGGCCGCACTGCACGTCTTGCCAAGACAAACTAGACTATGCACCAATTAAAAAACGGGACCCTTTCAAACCACAAACAAAAGAGTCCCAGCATTGAACCTTGTGGGACTCCGATGCAAACGTAAAGTAAAGCCCTCCCCCCACTTCATCAGTTTCATCGAGGCAAGATCTTCCAAGAAGCCAGTGTTCACTTGAGAAAATGTCTCTCGTTGGCAGGTCTCGACATGACTATAAAACGCAGGCGAGGGAGGAACTTTGGTTTTCAGCTTTCTCATTCTCCTCTGTTTAGATGTTCCCACTAGTCCCTCAACACATGTGCCAGGTCTCAATTTTCAGAGACAAAAAAAATTTCAAAACTGCTCTCTCCATTTCACGAAATCCAGCACGAGAAACAAACCAGCCGCCAAATTTTGACAAGCTGACCCCCATGCTACATAAAACGAGTGCCTAGAGATAACGTTTGTTCCAAATCTCAAACAAAGGGTCTTGCGTAAACTGCAACCTCTTACACAACATGCAAGGCCAATGTCACAGCATCGAGCATATAAGTATATTTTCGTATGTTTGAGTTGGAACCAGCTGGATGGATACTTGTTGGGTGAAATCCATGGACAGAGAACAGATGTGTGTGTATTTCAACAACATATCAGAGACAAAGGCTTAGCCACGCAGCCTTTTGAAGATCACTGGCACACAAGAGCCTTCACCTCTCTAGGCCCACTGGGTGGCAAGCCAGTGGAGCAAATCCAATATGTCCTCCTTCTCCCTCTCGAGGCCTGGGACTGTCATGCCTAGCGCCTGCCACAAAGACTGCACCTTAAGGTGAGGAAAAACTCAGAAAATGCATAGAAAAGTTAAAGAAAGCAGAAAACTTTCTTTAAAATAAGGAAAACACTGATAAGTGGAGCAACTCAATGGCATACTGACCTAAACCACGGGAGGCCACGTCTGTAGCAATCAGAATTGGAGCTTTGCCAAATCTGAACTCTGTAGACAAACAACAGTTTCAATCAGTCAACAGATTAATCTGGACACAGTTTATATTCCATTGCTTTAAAGCTGAAGTATGTAACTTTTATTAAAAAAATGTTTTTCTACATATTTGTTAAAACTGTTACTATGTCCTGACAGTACAGTATGAAGCAGATAATCTCTGATTATCTGTCTTCTCCCAGTACCAACTACAGAAATACACTGCTCAGGCAGAATGACCAATTACAGCAGGGCAGGGAGGCGGGAGTTAGTGCTGTCAATCGAACAGCACTAACGGCTGATGAACGGCTGGTTCTGCTGTGAATGCTAAGGCTAATTAGCATGGCCATCAATGACAGCAGATGGATAGTTTTTCTGCAATATTAAGTTGTTTCTCCACCATAAGCACATTGAGTACCGCATACATGAGTTTGATTGACAGTGCCAAGACCCTCCTTCTGGCTCTGACTGGTTGTTTCTGACCAGGAGTGGTGCATCTTTTCAGATGTCAATATCAGCTTAGGGAGGAGATGCAGGATCTTGATATTTTCAAAGATTATCTGTCTCACATTATGCAGTCATGATATGGTGACAGTAAAAAACATAGTCTATATATAGACACCAGCTTTAACGTGAAATGTAAAATAAATTTAAAAATACAGCCTTACCATTAAGAACCCAGTCCCTCTCTTGCTGACTCTTGTCTCCATGGATACCCATTGCTGGCCACCTACAGACACAGATAACAGAGACCCTTTAACTCAGGCGGTTCAAGATTATTCTAATACACAAGCTAAATAAAATGAGCAATTTTCGCCTAAAATAAACCATTCAACTGAAAATGATCCTCACCCATCTCTTCTCATTCTCCTGGTAAGTTCATCACAACGTCTTTTGGTCTCCACAAAGATAATGGTCTTGTTCTCCTTTTCGCTCATTATCTCCTCCAACAAACGGATCAGCCTTGAAACAGCAGAAAATAAAGGTTTAACTGATCAAATCTACAGAAATAATCTTTGCAGGAATATGATGGGAAGCAGATGTGAGGGTGCTCTAACCGGTTTCCTTTAGATCTATTTGCTTGTTTATATACCAACTCATCAAATGTGTCTTTTCCAGTAGACCGGTTTCAGTACATAACAGTTTCTAAGCAGCAGTTCTTTGTATTTCAACAAAGATAAAATCCCTGGTTATAGCACAGAAATCTGGAGCCATCCCAGCCCAGTGTGCTGCGGGTTCACTGAAATAGTAGCCCACTAAAACATGCCATGTTTAAAACTCCAGAGTTTTGTTTCTTTTTTGATTTGTTTAATAAAAAACTAGCAGCAAAAACAAAGCACAATAGCGATATAATGTTAGAATAACTGTCCCTTCCTCTTGTTTATTTAGAGTAAGTGAATGTCTTGGTTATCTTTTCGTATCACCAGGTGGTTTTTCTAGATTCTGCTCTAAAAATGTCTCCATCACTGGTGGATGTCACAGGTAATTGTTTAAAACCAGGTTCTGATATTACAGAGTCTATATGATGGGATACTACAATACATATTATGGTGCTTGATCTGTCTTCATGCACTAGAGTCCCTCAAAAAAATAATAAAATAAAATAAAACAGAGAGAGGATCAAATAAGAAATAAATGAGAAAAAAAAGCAACCTGCTTCTTTTACCCAATAGGTTAAGAACACAGGTTAAGAACTGCAGCCTCTTTGGTGGAAAAGCTCAGTTTTCTACTCACTTGTCCTCCTTTTCCAGGTCATTGCAGACATCAACTATCTGCAGGATGTTATGATTGGCACTGAGCTGCAATGCACCAATATTGATCTGGACGTAATCCTTCAGGAAGTCCTCAGCCAGCTGACGAACCTCTTTGGGCCAGGTGGCGCTCCACATCAGAGTCTGACGATCAGGCTGACAAAAAAAAACAAAACAAACAAATTATAACGTCAATTCTACTTACAGGTAAATAAAAAAACTGAGTTATTTGTTTATTTCTTGCGTGGCAGTGATGCATGTTAAAGCTAGCCGTCTCCTCTATGAAAGGCAAAACTCACCCGAATTTGTTCCACTATTTTGCGGATCTGCGGTTCAAAGCCCATGTCCAGCATGCGGTCAGCTTCATCCAGCACAAGGTAGGTGCAACGACGCAGATTGGTTTTACCACACTCCAGAAAATCGATGAGACGGCCTGGAGTAGCGATGCAAATCTCCACTCCTTCAACACAAACAAAGACGGCGATCAATAAAAACAGAAAGGAGTTGAGTTTCCATCACAGCATTAAAGCAGGCCTACCCCTCTCCAGGTCCCTTATCTGTGGCCCTTTAGGCGCGCCACCGTAGATGCAGGTACTCTTGAGACGAGAAGCCCTCCCATATTCAGCAGTCACTTGTTGCACCTGCTGAGCCAGCTCCCGGGTCGGCGCCAGAACCAAGCACTACGGAAAACAGAATCACTTCAGCTAATCGACCACATTATTGGTCAGTTACTTCACTCACACACAGCTGAGGTTTACATTTAGTCTTCGTTCACACTGCAGCCTGAAGTGACCCAGATCTGATTTTGACGTAATGCGACCTGACCCTGATCTTTTCATAACAGTCTGAACAGATCAGATTTTTTTAATGTGACCAGGTTATATGTGGTCCTAAATCAGATACATATCTGATCTTTTAAAAGGTGACCCGTGTCTGAACGGCCAGGTCACATTCATCACATTAACGTCATTGATACTTGACAAATGTCACTATTCTGCATCCTGACACGAGCAAGAGGGAAGAAAAACAACAACCACGACTGATGATAATGAGGATTAAGTTGTTAATGTTATTAAATTTAAAATTGTAAGATGTACACTCTTTATGTGTGGTGTTATTGCGCCCTCTGCTGCGGGACACTTCCAGGTCATCTGCAGTTCACACACAAGTCGCATAAACAGCTCTGAAAAAACTAAGAGACCACTTAAAATTATCAGTGATAATTTTAAGGTGTATATCTGAGTAAAATTAAGATTGTTCTTTTATTCTATGAACTACTAACATGTCTCTGAAATTCCAAGCAGAAATTTAGTATTTATTTGCACAAATGATAAACGTTCAAAATAACGAAAACAATGCAGTGCTTTCAGACCTCAAATAATGCAAGGAGAACAAATTCATACTCATTTAGAAACAACAATACTAATGTTTTAACTCAGGAAGAGCTCTCTAATCAATATTTGGTGGAATAACCAGAAGGTTTTCAATGGGGTTCAGTGCAGTGGGCTTTTTACCAGAGCTGTATATGGAAATGTGAACAACCATGCAAAAATATTCAGATTCCACCAAAAACCAGAACTGAGCATTGAAGCCTGCAGTGTGAATGTAGCATTAGATTCCATTTTAAAGTTATTTGTTCCTATATAGCAACCACACACATCACAGACAATAACAGCTCAAGGCGTACTTACAATGGGTCCGTCTCCGTGCTCCAGGAACGGCTGATGTTGGATGTGAACAATCGCTGGCAGAAGATACTAAAAAATTTAAATGAAAAAAGATGCTTAACACCTAATGCATGTCATAAGACCCCCACTTTCTTACATTATCGTTTATCATGATACATTTCTTATAATAAGACTCTGATTTATTATTGTCATGATAAAATCCAATTAGTGTTGTTTAAACTCCCCAGAACTGTCCGCATATTGTTAGCTTTGCTATTTTCTCTAGTTTGCTTAATGAGTGATCAATAAATTTGAAAAAATATTAAATGCAGTTATTATGTGCAGAGCAGCGTTTGTGTTTGTGTTGTCTTAAAAAAGGAAGAAGTTGCAAACGGTTCTTATCATCACCTATATTTTTATCAGAATAGTACCACGAAATGTCATAAGACTAATTCCATATTGCTCATTCCTAAGCTAAATAGGTTAAACTTGCACTTAAGAAGAAGTAAGTACTTGAAGGAAGTAAGAAGCGATCACTTACAGCAATGGTTTTCCCAGAGCCGGTTTGAGCGATGCCCACCATGTCTTTGCCGCTCAGAGCGACTGGCCAGCCCTGGGACTGGATTGGAGTCGGTTCAGTGAAGTTCTGCTTAACAATAACATCCATGACGTAGCCTGAGAAAATGGGATATTCAAGTTTAATTGCTGGTAGCATGGCAGAACGTTTGAATATATCGGGGGTAAATAATGTCAGAATCGGTTTGAATCATTTTGGCTCACTTGGAAAAGCAGCTTCATGGAATTTAACAATTGGTTTGGGACAATCTCTGCCTTTCACTGTGACTTCTTTGCTTCTCCGATACTCTTCAACCTCTTGCTGAAATTGGAAAAGAAAAAACAGGAAAGATGAAATTAGTTTCTCACTCTGCTTCTACAAAATAAATTCACTTCGACTTACAGATCGCAGAGGTAAATGAGAAACTCTGAAACGAATCTCTGTCTCACCAGAGGTCTGTGTGTGGCGTCCGGGTGTTCCTGGTAGAAGTTCTTCTGAAACTTTGGAAGCTCATCCAGGTTCCAGTGTCTCTTCCTCAGCCGTTCTCCGGGGTTTCCAAACTTTCCGGGAGGAGGTCCTCCCCTGTTGCCTCCTCCACCGCCACCGAAACGAGGAGGGCCGCCACCATACCTGAAGAAGAAACAAATCATTTTGTAAAGAAAAAAAAACAAAAAACTTGTTTATGTTGAGGTCTAAAAAATATCTACATTTATCTGCCGTTTTAACAAAACCTAAATTTGGAGTAAAAAAATATATTCAACTGTGAATCTGTTGCTAAAAATTGCAATGATGATATCAGCTAAGAATAACATTTGGTAATATTTTATTTGAAGGGGTGTGCGACATGAAACCGACATAAACATGACATAATGGCAATAATGAACACATGAAGGAGTCTTCATGAATGTTTACAACTGTTGCCATGACGTGTCATTCAGTAAATAATGATACTTTTAATGCAAAGTTGCATTAAAAGTCCAATAAAAGTATAAACATATAATTATTTAGTCAATAATGACTAAATTATTTATTTAGCCATTATAAATAGTTTATAATGACTAAGTCATTAAAAGTTTATGACTTTTAATGGACATAAAAAGTCCATTAAGTGTCAACTTTGCACTGAAAGTGTCATTATTTGCTGAATGACACGTCATGGCAACAGTCAAACATTCATGAAGACTCCTTCATGTTCATGTCTGCCGTCATGTCCGTCTTATGCGCACCCCTTCAAATGAAGTGCTGCTCAACGTTTTTCTGTCTTTATTATTACATATTAAAAATGTTGGTATAAAAACACACTTCAGTTGGGAGTTCATCCAACTGGCCAAACATGTTACCAATATGAAGAGTCTGAATACATGAGAATAAATATCGTTGCCAAGCGATCCTTTGCAAATCCGGTGCTGCACACACCGACATCGCTATGGCAACTCCATATACTGTACAGCTTTACTAACGATGCCTTTTGCACTCATTTGGGAAAGACCTTCCACAGTTGCTAAGAGCGAACAAATCTTCCAGCTCTCATGCCAAGTAATAAATTTTATCCAAGCCCAAAAGCCAGTCCCTGTTGGTGTAATCTGTGATAAGGTCAGCTGCAGAAGCAATCTATGATACAGTTCATATTTTTAAAGACTCTGGTTTATTGTTGTTCAAACTCACGAGATTTGTATGAACCTTGGTTTTATAGCACACTAACTTTTTAATAATCACAGATGTAAAGCCATTATGGATTTATTTCTGTTTACCAATACACAATGTTCTCGCTGGGGAAACATTGAATTCAAGCATACTGCAGTGTGGCTCAGAGACAAGGTGTACATTTTGATTTAAAAGCTCGATCCTACCAAAGTAGATCTAAACTGGTTGTGTGATAAAGCTCTCATATTCAGAGTACTTCCTTATTGCGTATGGGAGTAGTTCACTGACAAGACTTTCTAGTTTTTCAACAACATCCTCTATATCTTCTCTTAGTAGATGTAGAGGTTGCATATGCAGCCATTGTTACACTTTTCTTGAAGTAATTTTAACCAAATTGGTGCATCTGTTTAAATGTGTTGTCAGGCAAATGTTACCAAATCTATCGAACCTTAGAGCATATTATGATAATCATGTCAATAGTTTTTTGGCAATATAAACAAATAGAGAAGAGGTCAAATTTTTAATGTTCTGATCTGTCAAACAACCTGCTTTCACCACCTTTCGTCGGGAAATAGATTGTAGCTATTTTAAGCTTTTTTTTTTTTTTTTTTTTACATAAGATAAACCAAACACCAATATGTAATTTTAAATGTCATTTTCTTGATATAAATGGTTGGAAGGGGGAAATTTAATGAGCTCAAGGCTTGCGTTGGTGTAATTACTGGATGTACCGAACAAACTGACCGGGATGCAACACGGTGACCTACTTAAAAAACTCGGTGAATTAACGGAGGGTCGTGTTGCCTCCAGTAAAATACATTCGGATTGAGAACATTACGTATGAAATGAGCCTATTTGACAGCCATTTACTGCCCTGCAAACACAACCACAAGCTAAGGGCAAACTGCGTCACAAGGCCGGGGAGGAAACAGCGGAGGCTGCCGATCAGCTGCAGACACAAGGCCGCCGTTTGCTGCCATTTTAGCTCCGACGACTAAACGGTGAATATTTCCCAGGCTCCGCGAGCCGCACGCGTGCCAACCGTCAACCAACGGTCACAATTTAGTACATGAATCTCACTTAGACATCCAGTATTAATAACTACTCTAGACGTCCATGATTCTTTTTGTGTGTGCAGAAACCACAGCCGTGAAACCGACGTCATCAGTGTCTAAACACTGAGCTGCGAAACACAGAGAACAATAACTGAAGGAAAATTGATACATACCCTCTATCTCTGCCCCGGTCTCTGTCTGAAAAGCCAGGCATTATTTAGAAAATTGCTACGCAAAGGTAAATTAAGTCAAAAATATTGTTAGTCGGTCTATAAGCCTGGCGAGCGATAAGGGTGTTAGAAGAACCGGTTGAAAAGAAAATGCCGGCCGGCTCACAAACACAGACCATCGAGGCGGAAATGACCTCAGAGGCGGCGACTAACAGGCATATCCATCCGCGTACGATAAAAAACATTTGCTGTGGTCCTACTTTATGCCTGAAATTACCATAAACTATTTCCCCTCTTGGCTTTATGAATGGTGATAGTATTTTAGCAGTAAGCTTAATTTGTGATACTCAAGTTCCTTTGGAATATATATGCAATTAGCAAAAATATACTGCTCAAAAAAATAAAGGGAACATTTCACTTTAATTTTGTGTGTGGCTCCAAATCCAGGCCTCCATTGGTTAATAAATTTGATTTCCATTTATGGTTTTTGTGTGATTTTGTTGTCAGCACATTCAACTTTGTACAGAACAAAGTATTCAATGAGAATATTTCATTCATTCAGTTCTAGGATGTGTTATTTGAGTGTTCCCTTTATTTTTTTGAGCAGTGTAAATACAAACAACTTAAATCTGATGAAGTTGAAGACAATGAAACAAGAAAATGCACCAAAGGTTATTGTATTTTTATGACTGAAGTCAAAAATTGAATTTATAAATTAAATCAATACAAACTTTGTCATGTTCCTATTTCAAGTTCAAAAGCCAGTTCAATTCCCAATGAATATGCTCAGTGATCACTGTGACGATAAGCAGCAAAACAATCTATTTCTTTGTAATTTGCAATTCAAACACTGTCAACATGTTCACTAAAAGAGGGTTAGCCACAATGTGACTGATTTATTGAGATACAAATGATTAGATGTGTGAATCAATTTCTTTCTACTTCAGGTGTCAGTTTATTAAGGTAGCCATATTAGATTTTGAAGTTGATGTTGATGGCTTTCCTACTTAGAATTATGAATTTTATGATCATTTTCATTTAACTAGAAACTTGAAAATATCAGCTTCTAAGTTAAACTGGATAATGTAATTAAACCATACCTTTCACTCAGTCATGCAGGGCCGATTTATTGTGTTATGACAGCACAACAAACTGAAAACAACAAACTGCTTCTTCTGTTTGTAAAACCGTTTTAAATTGTATGTTAATGGTATTTTCTTGCTAAAACAGTTTGAGAACCTGTGGAGGTGACTGTCTTTTTGCATCAAACCAGTAGAAGAGCCTATCAAACAGTCCCCCCAGAGCCCATTTTGGATTTTCACTTACTTCCTCTTTCTGCCCAATCTGATGCTTGCTTCTGACTATAGAAAGTCATGTTCACCTCATCTAGATGCCTCAGTGTTTTGGGTTGAACCATCTGATTGGCTGAGGCACGTTTTAATGTTAAGTCATTGAACGGTTGACCTTTAAAGTGGCCTGTGAGTGTTACAGTTACCTGTCTGTTGTGTCTTTTTATGAAATCCATACACAGCTTATTATACTGTAATGTTTTGCACATATGTTCATTAAACCAGGTCTTAAGAGTAGTTGGAACATTTATTTGAAAGGTAATGGTGCTAATGTAACATTTTGTTTTCTACTTGTGAAGCTGAGAGTGAAAGAAAATCCTCATGTCCAGCAAAAGTGGATGCTGTCATTTTAGACAGTTCACTTCTGCAGTTTTATGCTTTTGCAGTTTTTGGTCCGTTTCCTGACTTTTCCAGGTTTGAGGGGGAGCTTTGTGCTTTCTGCCGTGGTTTGTTTTGGCACAAAATGACGTGGAAATTGTCCCAAAAACAGCAGGCCTCAGTCCTAGTCCAAAACATTTTCTTGGTTGATGTAAATTATCTCCTGTTCTTTCACCTGAAACAGAGAAACAGACATGTGAAAACCCCAAATTTCACAAATAGAAAATTGAAAGATTTTCAAAGTTTCTTAAACACGAATGCAAAAAGAGTAGATTTCTGTTATTGTTACAATAAATCTCTTATTTTGGAGGATATAATTTCCTTTTCTTTATGAGGGGGAGCAAACAATGCCAAAACTGAGAATAAATATAACTGAAATAAACCAGAAAGGAAGAAATCTAATATAGTAATAAACTAGAGAAACCAGAATAAATGATGAAAACTGATCAACCAAGAAGAACAAATATTGCAAAAATGAATAAATATCAAAAACACATAACAGAAATCACGTTAAAAACCAAAACACACAAGAATTGAGTCACAAAAGCTTAATTTTTTTTAAATGTTTTATTGGCTCTACTGGCCTTTATTTGATAGTTAGTTGACAGGAAAGTGGGTAATGAGAGAAGGGAAGACATGCGGCAAAGGTCGCCAAGCCTGTGAACCTGCGACGGCCATGTCGAGGACTGAGGCCTCCATATGTGGGCTGTGCTTAACCCCTGTGCTACCAGAGCACATCCAAGCTTCAAATTTAAATACATACTGGTCTAGTTGATGAGACGCCGGTTTAAGTGTCATTGTGGACAGTCGTCTTTACTGTGTCCTGTGTGAAACAGATAAAATATCCATGATTGGAAACTAGATTTAGGTTGATCCTTCCAGAGTAACTGTATAATATGGCAGCTTTAGATCATCATCAAAAAAACAAAACAACTGATCAAATAAAATCTCACCACAGATCGAATTTCAACACAATTAAAGTATTTAATAGCAAAACTCAATCAATACATGATCAGGATGTTACTGACCTAACAGAACAGTTAATAAAGTTAAATAAAACACTTCAAGGAGGAATAAAACCCATTTGATCACTTCTTAAGCTTCTTTCTCTCTAAGTTTTGTTTTCTTTTCATCTGGCTCCTCCTCTTGGCAGGAAACATAGTAAAACATTAATTACTTTTAGTTTTTTTCTCACAGCAGTGCTGTTGAACTGGGGGATTTCTCCTTCTGCTGTAGTTCCACTTTCCCTCAAAAGAAGGAAGCTGGTTTAATGTGTGTGTCTAAGGTTTCGGAGAAACTCACTCACTCTGATTTCACCACTGCAAAACATGTGCTCCTTTTTTTTTACAGATGTACTTAAATCACAGCATGGAAATGTTACAGATTATTACCAAAAAAAATGTTGTTGGAGTCAGATAACCACATTTTCTTACAGTAGATTATAGAAAGTTTCTTTAAGTCTTCAGCTCTCGAACTGGTTGATACGAGATGCCACAAGGTGAACGGCACTATTTTCTACCTGGAAGAGTCAGATAGAAATGATCAAAACTTTAAATGTAATGTGACTAAAAGGTGAAATAGCCATCATTCCATTTGGTCTTGGTACATTTTGTCCCTTCCCTAATCCATGCTCTAATTTCTGTATGGTTTGGCACCATTTCATGTCCAGAACTGCCATGAAACTGCAAAGGCCCAGCAGTGCTTTTTAAAATGTCAGCCACTCCATTCTTTCATCTTTTTATACTTGTTTGTATGTTATATCATGTTTTTCAACCTTGGGGACATAAATCGGTTGATTGAGGTTCAAGAACCAAGAAATTAGTTTTTTGCCTGAGTTTTGGGTTTTTCACAGCTTTTCTTGACAGATCATCTAAGCTGACATTTTTGCTGGTGTGGTATCCAACTGTTTTTCAACTGTCTAAAACATGTCTGTTAGGTTAATTAGTCGTTCTATTTTGTCCTTATGTATTGGCGTATCTGCCTGGTTGTTTGTCCTGTTTTGTCTGGGATTGACCCATCTCTCAACCAAAGACTACTAGAGAAAAACTCTTGCCCAAAAACATTTTAGTAATTATTTATCTACATAATTCATGAAAATACTCAACTAAGAGATTTAAAGTAATATTCAATAAACAGGTACATGAGTACAAGATGGAGGCGGGTTGAAGGATGCAAAATTGAGGATACTATTGACGGATATTATGAAAATGAAGGGTTTTTTACGCTTGAAAGCACAAGCAGGTTTGAAAATCCCTGTATCATTTTATTTTTTAATCCAAAATGAGAAAGGAGAAAGATTTGCAATTCACAGTAAAACAAGAGGAACCACATCTAAAGTTAAAACGTTTTTAAAGAGCTTATACAGATCACAATAACTTACTGTTCTACTTCCTCTCTCTGTTTTACCTCGTTTGTGATAGACATCTACCTAGAACTTAAAAACCAATATAATGTGATCACTGTAGTGTGTGTCATGATTTTTATCCTTACCGCAGGACTTGTTGCACAAGGTGTTTACATTGTCCTTGAGTTTATTGTTAAAAATAGTCAGGTTCCTATTTTTCTCCAGCAGCTCCCGGTCTGTTGCAACGCAAAGGAAAATAAAATAAATACTCTTACAGTTAATATACAAATTTGGATATTTTCCCTTAATTAAGAAAAAATAATTACTTTGGACTGCGAGGTAGATGTTTCCAGCCAGTAGGAGCAAACACACCACACCCATAAAAACACAGGCCCATTTGAAAGAACTCCTCTTCACAGACGTTTTGCTGACAAAAGACACTTAAACAAGGAATAAATACCTTAAAACATGTATTTAAAATAAACTATCAAGACACAAACCATTCAGAAATATTTTGTTGCTACAGTACAGCAGCTTCTACACAGAATCAGCAGCGCTCTTACTTTTGGACTGAGCCTGTGAAAGTCCTGAAGGGTTTGGCGAAGTGTCCTCCACCCAGGGGTTGTCGTACACTCGCAGGCTTTCCGTACTCACGTAGATGTCCACCATGCTTTCCCTGTTGTCCTGTTCAAAGTGAACATGTTTAACACAGCCAGGCTCCACAGACAGGCTACCTGACATTGTTTCTGCATAGATATTCCCAACATATACTGTTCTTAGCAGCTGCTGTTCTGGCTTCACACTTTTGTTTTACTAATCTCAGATGGGGATGCTTTCCAAAAACGGTAGAGCACTTGGCATATAAAAGGGGAAGAGTTAAAAATAGGAAGTTAAGTTTGAGTATCTGTTTGTTTTTTTATAAATCTGCATGTGCATCACATTTTCCATTTTGTGATTGGGTTAGGTTAGGGTTTGCCAACTAATGATTTTAAATATAGTTATAAATTCAGTTTTTAGCTGATTTTTATTTAATCATTTTGTAGAATTTCCACAGCTGAATGATATTACAAAAATCAATAATACATTTTTGATCTATTTACCTTTTCATCA